GTAAAAATAAGATGCTATGAAGGCGAATATGGTCAAGATGTTGCCTCGAAACTAGGGCTGCTCAATTAATCATATTTTAATCGCAATTACGATTATGGCTTGCAACGATTACGAAAACAACGTAATCGAAATAAAACGATTTTTTTAATTGTTATTATTACTTTTTAATAAAAACATTTATTGGTTTTTCAGTTGAATTATACTTAAAGTTCAGAGTAATCAACTGTTAAAAACATACCGTTCAACATTTTTTCTCGTAAAAAAGTAAATGGATAATCGTTTTTAATAATCGTGATATCAATTATTGACCCAAATAATCGAGATTATGATTTTTGCCATAATCGAGCAGCCCTACTCGAAACTAAAACAGTCGATTATTCTGGTGATTTTCTTTTTATGGGTTCTCCACATACACTTGAAGTCGCTTCACATGGTGGTATTAATCACACATTGGTCATGTATTTAGAGTTATAACACTGAGTTACTACAGCAAGCCAAGGTGTGAACCCCTCTCTCTTTAAAATCATATACAGAAAGGTCTTAAATCAGAGTGACTTTATGTCCCCCCCTGCTCCTCCCTTCCTCTACCAGCCCAATAAAACTCCTCTGATCCAAACACCAGACAAAATGGCGCGTGAGCCTGGAAAGTGAATAGAGGAAGGAGAAATGCTGCATTCTAGTGGAAGCTGAGGGACATTAACTCTAAGAAAAGATCAGAGTAATATTTAAAGTATAAATCAGAACATTTATTGCAGAAATCCATGAAAAACACAAATTGTAAAGCATGAGGAAGTCCTTGAGTATATTCAACAGACTGACATTATTCAGAATAAGGACGTGGCAAGCTGATAATGTGTTTTTAACTATTCGATTTGTTCTTTATTAACATCATCCCTTTAGGTTTCAGTAATAGAGACTTTTTGTGCTCCTCCATTCTTTGGGCTTCTTCCCGTTTATCATTCCACGACTCAATCCCTTTGTCCACCTCTGAGCTCAGCATCACGATACGTCGCTGTGAGAAACAAACACCAAGGTTAGAGTCAAAAGGCATGTAGTTGACACAGAAAGATAAATAGATAAATAGGATATTACATTACATGTTAGACGCTTTTATCCAAAGCGACTTACATACTCAATACTGTGGGCAATCCCCACAGGAGCAATTTGGGGTGAAGTGTCTCAGGGACACAACGACATGCTGACTGCAGTGGGGTTTGAACCTGTGACCCCCTGATCCGAACTACAACACACAACCCACTGCACCAAACACCACATAGATATATTATGCTACAGAAAAGACAAATGTGTTGATACTCACTGCTAAAACTTCCCTCTCCTGCTTCCTTCTCAGCTGTCCCTTCAGTAGAGGCGCTGGTCTGCCGTCTGTCCAGATAAACAAACAAGAAAACACAGTGCAAAATGTTCCAGACGTAGATCACAAAATGGTTGCATTTCTATAATTAACTAATGCACGCATCATTGGCTTAAAGGGGCCCTGATGTGCTTTTTCCTTTCCTGTAATGTGTTTTTGAACATTGAAAGCATGTCAACATGTCAGTCACAGTAGAGGCATACAATACAAATATGAAAATGAGCATAAAAAGGGCCCCTTTAAATATCCCAAATTGAATACGAACAAATGCCAAGTCAATTTAATTATTCCACACAAAAACAAAAAGGGTGAATCACTGTTAATTGCGTCCTTATGTGAGCTCTGTTGCAAAAAAAACAACAACAAAAAGGAAAAATTTAACTATACCTGCGAACGACCAATCAGGCAGATCGGTCAGAGGGCCGTATTCTGAGCCACTTTTAGAAATTCCATTTCTGCAAGCAAAGAAACATTATGAAATTAGAAATCATTCAACACAGTAAGAGAAATTAAAACGTAAAATGAGGACAAAAATGTGAACGACTAATACAAAACACAGAAAAAAAGGACACACAATAATATAGTATTTTTTCACATAACTATGAAAGGAAGTCATGACAGCGAGCTATCAGAAATAAATAGCAGCAACGTGTAACGAGCTCATCTAAATGAATCACAGTCATTTGAATATAAACAATTACACTTGTACTGTTCCTACTATAACAAACCAACATGTCTGCTGTGAACAAGGTATGTTCTGATGCAGATTTAGTGTACAACAAAACCACATAAAGTACAAATGTTAAATAGGACTATGCATGCCCATATCTCGTGTAGAAATGGCTAGTTGAGCAATTACTATATCATGATATAGTCAAACTTCAACACATGAGTAAGGAACACAGCATCAGTGTCAACAGTACACTTACTCTTTCCTCCATTTCTCTCCGCCCTGGACTCCACATGTTGTGCTGAACTGCCTGCTGGAGAGCCTCAGCACTGAAGAACAAGTGCACAAACAAAACAGCCTCTAAAGTCACCTCTGGATTCGCATAAACGCCATTAACATCGTGTTGAATAAATGCTGCTAACTTAAAGAGTTTGCATTACAGAACTGTTAGCATCACCGTTAGCATCGATGCTCGTTACTGCATTTACAGCGATTCATCAAACAAACAAGCTGTATTACAGGTATAGACGAGTACACAAATATGTTTACAGCAACAACGCTTAACTTTAAAGTTTTAATGGGTCTTAAAACAGCTTATTTAGTGAATAACCTCTGTCTTGTCTCACCTGAACTGCACAATGTCCTCACGGGGGCCGCCATGTTGTGTGCACTCTCCTGTGATGACCACCAGAGGGCGCTAAAGACGCACCAAAAGTCAAGAACTACCACTAATATTTATTTTTAAATGTCCACCTTTAAAACCTTTAATTGGGGTTTTGGATAAACTACATTATTCTGTTAAGAAAATGCTTACACGTGAAGCTCAATCATAACAAAAGTTTCCTAAACAATACATTGAAAAGCCCATTTATTTTTTACAGAATTATTTTTCTAATGGGTCTCTCAACTTAAAGAAAACTACTTTAAACTCGTTTTTAAAACAATTACAACTTTTTAATTAAGAAAAAAGAGAAAACATAGGGTGATATAACAAGAATGACTCCTCTCTCAATAACTTATTTTATATAGGACAACATAAGGCCAATGTAAGCAAATGTCTTATTGTCTTGAATTCGGATAGACTTCAAAGTAATTACTTTCATCTTGACAGATTCAAATAATGAAACAGATCATAGTTGTGTTAATGTTAAATGTTGTGTTTGCATGTCTGCCCTTTGAGGAAATAATTACACACATGCACTCTAATGGGCTACGATTGAGACAGATGAAGGAGAGGACTTCATGGAAGCATTCTGGGCTGTAGACATGACTGGGGGAGCAGAAATGCAGACAGAGCCCTGCCGCTTTTCGCAGCTCTTCAAAGTATTGTTTTTGTATGAAGTGCTCCGCTGCTAAGCCCAGAAGAATTTCTCTGTTAGCTTTTCAGGCAAGTTCCCACTCGCAGGCTGTGAGGCAGGAGTCTGCAGAGGCTGCTGCAGGGACTCCGCTCAACCGCAAGGGCCGTGAAAGGCTCCATGGAAAGGGGCTCCAGGGCACACAAAAAAGCCGGTATGCCTATTTAAACACACCAGGACAAACACAAGCTACTTGATCAGGGTTTGTTGTGTTTTGGTGTGTCCGTTAACTGCCACAAACCGGCCGATACCAGGTCTGAGTAATGCTGGTCAGTCCTGTAATAGCAGCGGGATGTTTACCCTGAATCCTCCTTGGAGAACTCAGACACGCCGAAAAAATTCACCAACTGCCTCACTCAGCCGTGCCCCTCCGCACATTCCACAGGCTGGTGGTACAATAAAGTAGTGCCGTTGCCTAAACGACGCAGTTCTTTCAATGATTTAAATGTAGTGAAGAATAACAATGATATAAAATGTTTAAAACAGTAGTAGTAATACCACAATGTAAAAAATACCCCATTATACAAGTAAAATGCTGCTTAGTAACTAAGATAATATGGGGTTATATGTTTTACTTATTATATTATAGTAATGTTATTACTATTTTTGTATAGACAGCATTTTAATGTTATAGCTGGTTGTCGTGGAACTAGTTTTTAACTTTTTAATATGATGTTGGGTAGACACATCTTTAAAATTGGCTTATATTTATTAAGATTGCATATGTTTTGTGTAAAAAATGTTATTTGTATAAAAGCTAATACATATAATTGACAAATTAACGCATTGGAGTAATCAAATAGTATGATTTTCATATTTCTATCTTGACAAAAAGTATCAAGTAAAATACAGAGGTAATAGAAAAAAGGTAAAACACTTCCACAGACTTATTGTTTAAGAAAATAAGGCAAGGTTCCTTGAATTTACTTTCTTGAATGTAAGTTTATGGATATGGAAGTGGCCCATCATAATAACATGATTAATGATTTACACACGAGTGCTTTTCTGTGAATTATTTTCCAGGAGACCAATCAACACATTCCTTCAAAGCATGTAATAAGTAGCCTAATAAAGCACATAAGATTAGACATAATCTACACAATTCACACCAATGTTTTCTTTTAAATGTTATTTTTAAGAGAGTTTTTTTAAATCTTGGTGGAGCGGGCACATCCTCTGGGGGAGTTTTGCGTATGAATGACGAAACAACCATGGCTGGTTGAAAGGTGTTCCGGCGCTGTGGGGGAAACGAGCCGCCGCTGACTGATAAAGGAGCAGTGGTGCGTCAAGCTCAACATCGCGATACTACGCCAAGGGACGTTTGTTCAGTGATTCCACCTTCAAAATAAAAGCAACGTTTAATGACGCTTTCAAACTGCGAGCTCAAATAACCATTTGAGAGGTACATACTATAAAATAGTGTCTCGATAATACACAGCATTAATATATGTTATGTAATATAACAAATGAAACTGTAACACGATTAGAAAGATGTTCTTGTTCTCCAAAATATATAGCGGTTGCAAGTAAAGAGTTTATTTTGAAATATGTAACCGGAACTATCTCTATACGCCATAGGCAGCTTGATACTCTTGCAAAAAAAGAGGGGGAGGTAAGTAATTATTTAGGGGGAAGAAAGAAAGAAACAAAGTTGTCGACTGAGCAATGCACACGGGGAGGGATTTTATTTATCTCAAACAAGTCGTTTAGTCCAGCTCCGGTACTATGGGATGTAACTGTAACCGGTTTCCTTCATTTCCTTCTCTCTCCGCAAACTTCTCCGCTACTCTTTCCACGGGATTTCTGCTCTGAAAACGGGAATGATAAAAGCAGCCGGATGGACGGACGGACTGAGGGGTCTTTATGTCTAGAGCCGTATGTGTGTTTCCTGTTGCCTGAGTTTAAGTTAAACATAGTATTTACCATTTTTTTACCGAGCACACTTTGCCCTGAAATGAATGGCAGAAGTGGACTTTCTGTGCACAAACGGATTTATTTTTCCTGTCTACACTGGAGCCACATGAAGTGTGCATCCCGCTGAACCTCTGCGCTTTGTGTTTGAAAAAAGAAAAGAAAATTCAACAGAGACACCCCCTCACCGCACTGGAGATATCAAAGCGACTTTCCTGAAGGTTATTTCGCACAGTTTGACTAAAAGAGAAGATGCAGATGTGGAGCCACATGAGGGTCCACAAAGGAGGCCCTCCGCGACCATAGGTCACACCGAAGTGTCCTGGATGTATGTTTTTCCTATTTCCTGCCTGGATTGACTTGAACTATTAATAATTGTCTAGTAATCCAATGGATTCTCTTACCTGTGCCTGTGGGTTTTCCACATGAGGGCCAACTAGATGGCGTTAGTCATGTAAAACCCTGAAATGTCTTAAAAGTCTTATTTATCTGTTTTGTATTTATTGTGTTTGTGTATATAAGGGTCCTCTTTTAAAGGCCAGTTTGTTTTATTTCTAAGTGAGAATAAGAGACTGCCATTTCATTTTTCGTAGTGAAAACTGTAGATTTACTTGAACATAATTGTGTTGTCTATCTACCCACACTGTATTTGAGCACATTGATCTGTAATTTAAAGAGCGACTGTGCCCGGACAGGTGAAAAAACGACAAGGCTCCATCATGGACAGGCCGATCAGCAAGTTACTGGAGAAGTTAAAGCTTACAGACTCGGGCAGTGTGAAATTCAACAGTTCAAAAAAAAAGCATGACTCTGCCAACAACTCTAATAACAGCAACGCTAACACTGGCAGCTCTGGAGGCGGTGGAGGGGGCCCCGGTCTGCCACCGGCTCCCATCTCTGCCTCGCCCTCCAGACCCGGCCAGTTCTCGCTTGCCTCTGCAACCACAAGCGACGCATGTGTTCCTGCAAGTGGGAGAGGAGGAGGAGGGGGGGGAGGAGGAGGAGGAGGAGGAGGGATGGGTATGCCTCCCTCTCAGCTCCTCTCCCCACCGCCTACTTCCTCCTCCATACCTCAAGATGGCGAGCAGCACCCCTCCACACTGGCTCCACTGAGGCGTCGCTCCCCCCAGCAGAGAGCGTCCTGCTACCTGGGCGAAGGCGTGGACCTCCACATGAGGAGGGAGTCCGGCCTGGGCCCCGAGTGTGACATCTTGGGGGCGTACGGCTCCAAAACGTCCCTCAACCAGCGGCGCTACTCCCTGGAGCTCCAGCAGCTGGTCAGGCGGCGGCTGGGAGAGGAGCGGTTTCTCTCCGCCCCCCCGCCGTACCCTGCCTCCATGGGCTATGGTTCGGCTCCCAGAGGTGGCCTGGCAGAACCGGGCTACCTCTCCGAGCCCGAGAGACACAAACGCCTCTCTCTCCAGGAGGCTCTGTTCTACAAACGCCTGAGCACGGGCAGCGAACTGTGGGAGAACCCGAGGCCTGCGTCCCTCTCTAACCCCCCGCACCGCTCCTCTGATGTTCCTGGAGGTGTGGGAGGGGGGTTCTTCTACCCTCCGGGACCCACCCTGAGCCCATGCTCTTCGTTCAGCCTGCAGGAGTCGTTGCTGGTCAGCCCCCGGTCCAGCTTCGCCTCCAGCACGGCCAGCGGCGGGGGGGGGGGAAGCCCAATGGGGAGTCGCTGCAGCAGCAACCGGACCAGCGGCATCAGCCTTGGCTACGACTCTCGCTACTCGGCCTCTGGAGGATTCCCCCCGCAGCAGCAGTCCCCCTCCATGCAGCCCGGGGGTCCTGCGTCGGGGTATGGAGGTCCAGGACGGTCCGGGGTGACCCCTGTGGAGGCCTGGACCCAGTACCTGGAGGGGGGGATGCGTCCGGGGGCGTACGACAGCCGGCACTCCTACCCCCCGGCTGTTGGGAGCCCCGGTGCGGCGTGTTTCCAGGCGGGCCCCGAGTGGTGGGTCGAGCAGCAGGCGGAGGTGAGGGGCAAAGAGGGGGACAGGGCCCGGTACTCAGACCTGCCCGGGACCCGGTACCAGGAAGAGCTCACCAGACTTCTGCTGAGAGACAACGCTCTGGCGGGCGGGGGGCTCATGGAGGGCCTGGCTCTTTCCAAACCCAGCTCCACGGTGGGGCCCTGCTCAGCCGGGGGGGCCCCTCAAACCTCAGGAGGAGCCAGGTGGAGCTGGGAGGGAGGGCGTGGAGAGCCGGCAGGAGTTCTTTGGTGAGATGCTTTCTTTTAATATTCAGGGTTCACTTCGAAAAGGGAGAAATTAGAAGGTTATCAGAAGCATTTAACACACATTGTCCAATCACATAGCATCCTCCCTCAGTGTGTTATTAGTGTCCCCCTCGCCGCCTGGTGTCAGATCTCTCTAAATGAAAGGCTTGTATGGATGGATGGACAGATTAATAGTTGAAAGAGTGTATGGTACCTGGGAGCCTGCAGGGACACGCAGGGTTGTAGCACGCCAAACATAAAGGAGAAACTTCAGAAACTGATCCAGGCAGGTGATTGGCTGAAGAGAAGAAAGGAAAAAGATGGATTCACTCATTTAGATTCACACCTGTGGCCACAAACCAGCTGATGTTTCAACAGTGTGCTGCACATGGGCTAACGCAGCGTAGCAACACGGCTATTAAAAGTGCAGAATTCTGCCGTTACACTCAACACACAAATGACATGGTTCCATCCAAACACAGCTCCAACCATTACTCTGAGTCACACAAGGTTAGGGCTAAGCATCTGTGTGTGTGTTTGTGTGTGTGTATTGTTTCTCTGTGGCAGGGTGTGTTTTTCCCTGAGTGACTTCAGGCCACAATAACACAGTGTGTGTGTGTGAGTCATGTGTGTGTCCTGGTGTGTGTAATGCTGCCTTGGCGTGTGCAGGGGTGTGTGCTGCAGCCTGTTTTTCTGCTCAGGTATGTGCGCCCGGAGGGGACATGCAATACTGTACTGCTCTCAGCCATTAGGAAGAAGTCAGGGGCTGTGAGCCGTGAAGACAGACGCTCACACACACACACACACACACACACACACACACACACACACACACACACACACACACACACACACACACACCTATAATGCAGTTTGAGGCTTTAATTGCACTAAAAGGAAAGTAAAAAACGAAAGATGTAGACCTAGAAAGTAGGAAACGATAAAGCTTTTCAGGGATTCTTCGTTCGGAAACAAGTTGAAAATCGTTTCTGTTGATGATTTTGTTCCACCTGTTGCAAAGAATACACACACATATGTCGCCTCGTGCCTTTTTGAGTCAGTTTTCAGTGCCTAAATGATCAATTATCTTTATCATTATGTGTAAAAGCCTATGTCACCAATTCCTCACGTTTTCTCGATGAACCCGATGAACACACATTACATTTAAAGCTGGGATTTTGCGTCTTTTTGGCTTGGGCAGAGACTTGTGCCTGTTCCTAAATATCAGAAAGGACCGACTAAAAGTATAGGAATTCTCAAATTGTGTGGCACTCCCTCAGCCACAGAAGAAAGGGGGGGAAAGCGCAGGCAGATCTCTAAATAGATCACAGGGAAAGGCTGCAGCTCGGACCACCGCAGCACTTTTCCACTTTTCATTTAGTGCCCTGAACATGTACTTAGGCTCAACTGAGAAACACAGGGAAGTTAGTCAACTGTAAGAGCCTTACGTTGTTTTCTTTGTCTAGTTTCGACCTAGAAAAGCTTATTTACGTTGTGTTGGGCTAACTGAAGAGATGAAAGGTGTGTTGGTGTTTAAAAATGAGGTCAGACTGTGGAAAAGAAGCATCTGTTTCATTGACTGTAAATGGGGTAAAAACAATTATCTGCCATTGGATAACAATTTAAAGGAAAAAGCGATCACGTTTGTAATTGACTTCTTCTTCTCCCCCCCTGAGGTCGTTTCGGCTCCTCACATCAGGCAGCAACCACGTTTCATCTCCAAAATGGCTCCAATTGGGGGGTTTTAAAGTCACAATTTAAAAGGGAAGTCTTCAATGCAAAACTCCAGAATAAAGAGTCTGGCACAGAGTCAGATCCGGTGGAGTTTCCCTCTAATAACAGAGCGTGAACACCGTGGAGTGGATGAGCAAACAGGCTGGCATGGGGAGAGGGCTTTTAACTGTGTGAAAATCCCCTAGGTGGTGCGAACGAGAGGATTTACAAGTGTTGACACTCTGTGTGGAGTTGGGTTTCAGACACATCCTCCAGGAATGTGTCGTAAACCAAGTGTTAGGAGCCGCTGAGCGATTTACTCCCTGACTAAATGAATGTTTGTTGTCCCCCCCCCCCCCCCCCTGTTTTTGATGCCAGGAACCTGTGTGAAGTGTGGGAAAGGCGTGTACGGCGCGGATAACGCCTGCCAGGCTCTGGATAGCCTCTATCACACACGCTGCTTCACCTGTGTGTCCTGTGGTGAGTACCCCCCCCCCAACTACCCCGCGCCCACAAACACAACAAAGATTAAATTGATTTCCATCACCGACACCTATTCCAAACTGTCCTGCAGGACGCACCCTGAGAAACAAGGACTTCTACAATGTCAGCGGCTCTGTGTACTGTAAAGAGGATTACATGGTAAGAGTTGAGGTCAAGGCGTGTTTTGTCATCCCTCCTACACACACACAAACACAGTCCCATATTCCGAGTCAGAGGATTGATTTTTCTCGCTAATCTCTTTGTTGTAATTACAGTTTTCGGGATTCCAGGCTAATGCGGAGAAGTGCAGTGTGTGTGGCCATCTCATTCTGGAACAGGTGAGCATTGTGTGTGTGTGTGTGTGTGTGAACATGCTACACGAAGAAGACTTAAGCTAGATTTAAAGAAAATGTGCCCTGCCCTGTGAAACTTTTAGACACTTGCGTCCCATGTTTCCCAGAATGCCTTTCCCCCCCTGGAGGATTGAGAAATTCAGTGTTGGCCCCTCTTCGGGTTCCCACGGATGATCTTCAGAGGAATGTTTGCCTTGGTTTTTGGATAAACACAAAAATATGGCTCTGTAGTGATTATCTTAAAGGTTTTTACCATATCTGAACCGCATAAGACCCGTAATATAAATAGAAAGCTTGCAGAGAGAGCGTGTGATCCAGCCATCGTTTTCTGCATCATTTGAACCACATTTGAGTTTTATAACTGCAAACATTTGAGGCCTAAAACGAGCTGGTGCAAAACTCATAGCTCAAATGTACATATATGAGGAAAATAATACTTTCACATACCACATTGAATATTTTCTGGTCTGACACAAAACTGAAAAGGCGTGTGGTGCAGTGGATAGAGCCTTGGTGTTTGGATCAGATGGTCACAGGTTCAAACCCCACTGCAGTCAGCATGTCTGTCGTTGTGTCCCTGAGACACCTCACCCCAGCTCCTGTGGGTATTGCCCACAGTATTGAGTATGTAAGTCGCTTTGGGTAAAAGCGTCTAACAAGTAATATGTAATGTAAAAAGGAAAGTTGTGTCAATTAAAATACAGAAAGGCCAATTCATCCAAAATGTAGGGTATACATTCGAGGACAAGCTACAGACTCGAAAGCTAAATGGGAATAGTCAGAAAATGTCAAAAGACAACAATTAACTTTATTCTTTTAGCTTTACTGCAGCAATCGGACATTCTGAGTCAGATCAATTGGACGATGAACTAAGAAAAAACACATTGATAAACTAAATCATACACATATAGCATGTAGTGTCAGCCAGTTAGATTTGTAATAACACATTTGAATAATACACATCTGGATTCTCCTGCTCAGATCCTGCAGGCTCTGGGGAACTCGTACCACCCCGGCTGTTTCCGCTGTGTGGTGTGCTCCAAGGCTCTGGATGGGGTCCCCTTCACTGTGGACCACAACAGCAACATCTACTGCGTGGCAGACTACAACAAGTGAGACTTTTACTTTTACACTTTTATTAAAGGGGCCCTATTATGCTCTTTTTCAGGTTCATATTGTATTGTCTCTACTGTGACGTGTCTCTATGCTTTAATGTTCAAAAAGCTCTTTATTCTTCTCATACTGCCTGTGCTGCAGCCCCTCTTTTCACCCTCTGTCTGAAACCAGAGCCCAGTCTGCTCCGATTGGTTAGCTGGCCGGCTCTGTTGTAATTGGAGAGGTGTCCCGCCCTTTAGCCTATCACCTACAATGTGTGGGTGCGCTAGCCAATAGAATCGAGAGTATTAAGTGGTGATGTTCTGGAAGTAAACAAAGGAGTCCAATGGAGGCGTTTCGGACCATTGACATGCACACAAACTTATATAACACACTATAGGGAAGAGAAAACCCCAAAAGCAGAAAAAGACCTCTCTAATGTGTAACAAAGATGTTATTGTGCTGCTGGTGTCTTCACTAAATAAACGTTCTCCTGTCGTTTCTGCAGGACTTTTGCCCCGAAGTGCGCGGCCTGTTTACAACCCATCTTACCGACTGAGGTAAATACAAGTGTTTCTGTGTTTAACTTGCAAGTGTTGGCTGGAGGTGTTTTCTGGTCTTTGTACTTAACCGTAAACATTGTGTGCGAGTCGGTTGGTGTTTGTCAACTTCAAACGTTTTTTAAGCAAACTTTTACACGCACTGAAAAAGTAGGAACTGGTTTCAGGCAACCACACTAGTGTTTCACAATCTAGCATTTCTGTGCTGTGGTTCACACTTCTTTGTTAAATGACTGCATATTGAAAGTGTTGTTTTGCGTCTCAGGGCAGTGAAGAGATCCTCAGGGTCGTGTCTATGAACAAGGATTATCACTTTGAGTGCTACCACTGCGAGGTAAGTGATCTTTGTTGCACATTTTGTCCCCGTTTCCATCCTGACTTGTGTTATGAAATGCCTTGATGTTTGACCTCACTTCCTGTGTGCATTCCTGTCCTTATCTGCGTCTCCCCCCCCCCCCCCCAGGAGTGTGGTAAGCAGCTCTCTGATAAGCCCGGCTCGCAGTGCTTCCCTCTGGACTCTCATCTCCTCTGCCACTCCTGTCACATGACCAGAGCGTGCGACACACACAACATTCCCCCTCACAACACACACTGATCTATGCAGCTGTGTACGTCTCGAACAAGCTGGTCTTAACATGCTGTCATTCTGTAATGTGCTTTTTGACCAGTAACGCGTCTTTTCCTGAAGATCAAACTGCTGATGTCCAGACATTTCCACTGATTCATTTTATGGATCAGACCTTTGTGTCACATGTACTTCCTGCTGTACTATTACTGTACCATAGTTATAAGGGAACGGGGGGAAAAAAAACTACTGCTTTTTTTTGTTTTGACCCCAATGTGGCTACTGTTTGCTGTAGAAGAACAAGGGATTTTGCTAAACTGTTTTGTACATATATTATCGCTAGCAAACATTTTGCACTTAAATTTGACTTTACTGTAAGATTTGTTACGTGAATCTGTACAATTTGGGGAAAAACATTACTGTAATTTCTGTATGTTGTAATAAATATTTTCATTTGTGTTCAGGTAATGGTCTACGTGCTCGTATTGGGTCACAAATTCACTTTATTATAACAAACATTTCTCTCTGTCCATAAATGATTAAAGCAAAAACATCCACACACAGGCTGAAAAACAATTTAAATTTATTATTTTTTTAATTCTCAGTACATTCAGTACTTGCAAGGAAGGGGAAAAAAGCAACAAAATCTTACCATTCAGAACTAAAAACATAAAATTAAAAATATTAAAATTGTAACCATTACTCTATTAGAAGGAAAACTAGGTGTACCTCCTCTTTAAATATATTTATGATTGAATGGTCAGAGGAGGGATTTTCTGACATCAGTGCAGGGAATCAGCTTCCTGTAATTATTACAGAATAAACCTCTTGACAACTATTTCATACTCTTCTCTTCTCGGCTGCATAAACATCCAATAAAGACAAACTGGGGCACGTCCTCCAGAATCACCACAACAAATAACATCTCTTCCTATCACACGCGTTGCTAGGTTACAGTGTTGAGACTTCAGTCGCATCTTCGTGGGAGATGAAGGTTATTACTCACACAACAAACATCACCTGCGGTAACACAACAACCGTCCCAAGGCTGAACAAAAATTAACATGATGTCTAAAACATTAACAAAACAAATCCTAGTCGTATACTTAAAAAAAATAAAGGAGAATATCTCAGTGCTGAAGAGTAGAACTGATCCTAGAAAATATCTGAAGGTCGGGAATCTATTTTGGACTTGTTTTATTACAGGGCTCTGAGGAGGAAGGAACTGTGCGCCCGCAGACCTAAAATAAAGAGGCGGGCTCCCAAACCTCAGTGGGACAAAACGCTGAGGCGAGCCAAAGAAATAAAAGAAACCCGTTCTCTGATTTTTTCTTCAACAGCCGTTCACACAGGAGAGGAGGAACGCTGCTCTCTACTGACTGTCGCTTCTGGAAGACAGAGAGAACAGAATAAGAGCTAGACTAACCGTCGATCTAAACATTTTTCTGTGGACCAAGTGGTGGTGAGCGGTGGGGGGGGGAGGGAGGGTGAAATGGCAGAAGTGTGTGGAAGACAACGCTGGCGTCAAAGTGGAAGAAATTAAAGCTCGGCGGGGCGGGTAGCGAGCAGCAGCCACGAGTCCTGAACGTTAGAAAAATAGACAGATGAATCTCCGAGTGGAACCCCTTCCTGTCTGCCGTGTCCCTCTCCCTCTCTGTTTATCTCTCCCTGCAGCCGCTCTGCGTTCAGCGGCGTCTATCCCTGGGGTTGCTACGGCTACGGGAGCGTCGTCCTGCCCCGGCTCCTACAGAGGGTCGTGGGGGGGGTCGGTTGCTGCCGTCCCGCTTCCTGTCGGGCTCCCTGTCTCGGCCGCGCTCCCTCTCTCTCTCTGCTCCTCGCCCGGCCGCTCCGACACTCGCAACCGCCGCCGCCGCACCGCCGCGATCTTTCTCCCGAGCCTTCAGCCGCTCCTTCAGCCGCTCCCTCTCCTCCTCCGCCTTCTTCTCCAGCTCCTCCTGCCGCTCCTTGCGCCTTTGTACGCGCTCCTTTTGCTGCTCGGTGCGCTCCTGAGTCCTGTGTGCCGCCTGGTGGAGGCAAAGCAGAATGTATTCAATAAAAAACACAGAATTGAACAAGTGTGTTTAGTAGGGATGCTCCGATCGATCGGTCACCGATCGAGATCGGCCGATACTCACTCTCTACCGATCGATCGGTGCTCTCTAAACATGCCGATCGCGAGAGCCGATCGCATGACGTAAAACACATGACACTTTTCTCTGTGTGCGGCAAAACAAGCTCGCCAACATGGCTTCACCGGTCTGGCATTATTTTAAGGTGTCCGAAAAAGACAGTAAAATAGCGGTATGCAACGTGTGTGAAGCAGAAATCCTGCAGCTCCGCCCGCCGGACCGGTAAGCGAATCACACAAGAGTTAGACCTAACACACTTAGCTATTTTATCTACCTCTGGAACAAGCTAAACTAGTTATTATAAATATATTTATTCTTCACTGTCGGGTCACTCATTACTAGATCAGTGAGCTGCATGAGATACTGACAGGCTGTCAGGAGGGAGAGAGAGGGAGAGAGAGAGGGGGAGAGGAAAAGAGAGCGCTTCCGCTCATTTCTCCCGTGTTATCCAAAGTGAATGTAAACTTGAATAATGTACTTCATTTGAATGTAATAATTAAGTTGATTGTTGTTTGTGGAAGCTCCAGTGAATGAGCCCCATTAACTGAGTTTAAACATCACTTTAAATGGAAGATTTAAAGTGATGTTTAAATCTTTCATTTAGGCCCCGCCCACTCGATCGGTATCGGCCGATACTGATTCCGGCGATCGGCCCCGAAATTGGCGATCGGAGCATCCCTAGTGTTTAGGAAGCAGTGTTCATTTTGGCAGCTATTTTTGATTTAGTCTTTAGACGAAAATGGTTATTAGTTTTAGTCACATTTGAGTCCTTCATAGTTTTAGTCGATCTAAAATCATTACATTTTAGTCAACTTTTCGTCAAAATGTTTTCTCTCTTTGAACTAATTCAGTTAGGCAAATACAGGTATCTTAAATTGGAATCAAGGTGACCGCATCAAGTGTTGAAATTCATAAAGCAACATTTCACTTTAACACTTTTAACGGTACTACTACTCTTAAAGATCTGTGTTCTGGCCGCTGCAGCGTGTCTGTTAGGCCCCGCCCCCGCACACAGAGAGAGGCCGTTTCTCAATGTTGAGTAAACCTGCTGCAGAGCCACTATTTCAAGTATGCTACGTCATCGAGTGGCGCCGAAGGACTGTTTAAATGCATGTTAAATGCCCAGCATTCGGTGCCACTCGATGACGTAGCATACTTGAAATAGTGGCTCTGCAGCAAGTACACTCAACATTGAGAAACGGCCACTGAGAGAGTTAGGACCGCCCCCGTACAGAGACGACTCGAGAAACAGACAGGAGAGATCACTCTTCTGGAGTGAAGAGAGCGTAAATAATGATATTGCAAGTTAGAAACGTAAGATGCGTTTTGACAGACAAAATGGACACTTGGGGGAAAATATGCTGCATTTTGAATGTCCGATAGTCCACCATTAACACCTTAGTCCCGTCTCGTCAACGAAAACTAAATTTCGTCATAGTTTTTATTATCAAGGATTTATTTTTAGCTCGTCATCGTCTCAGTCATGTAAAAAAGGTCGTTGACGAACATTTTTCGTCATAGTTTTCGTTGACGAAATTAACACTGTTATGAAGAAGGGAGTGAGAGACCAACCTGCTCCTCAGAGAGGGGAAGCCAGTAGATACACGGCGCTGCTTTGGTCTTCAGGAACAAGTCGTCCAGCAGCTTTGCAGGAGGCTCGTCTCCTTTGGTACAAAACAGAGAAAGGTCAGATTCTAGGAAAACCACTCAAACTGTGTGTGAAAAAAAAGTAACTTTAAACCTGCTAATCTTGCCTAATTGTGAAAGCAACCACTGTGTATTCATCAATATACTTACTGTATTTGTCAGCCAATACTTTTGATTCACTTTTATCCTAGTAGGTGTAGTGATCACTTACCCTTCTTCTCCGTCTTCCTCTCCTTGCTCTTGGCCCTCTCCCTCCTCCTCCTCTCTCTGGATCGAGAGCGGGGTCTGTCCTCTCCCGGCCGGGCGAACTCCCGGACCTTATCCCGGTCCCATTCCCGTTCGCCACGGGCTCGTTCCCGGCGCTCCATCTCTCTCTGCCGCTCCACCCACAGCTCCCGTACTCCCCCCATGCCCCGGTCCCACTCTGGGTTCTGTTCCCGCTCATGGTCTCGCTCAGGCATCAGGGGGGGCAGCCGGCTCGGGGGAGCACTTTGGGGTGCGACAGCGTGGGGCTTCTCCCTCTCTGGCTTCAGGATGCCTTTGTGAATGTCCATCTGCAGAAAACACACAAGTTAGGATGGGACATTTTGAGTGTGGAGAACATTGAGGGACAAATTCAAGTAAATTCAAACAAAGAAAAGGGTCCATTAATCATCAGTAAGATAATATGTAGATAAACATGACATTTGTGAACTAAAATGTATATAAAAAGGCACCAACATATATGATCCAAAGATACTAAACTACTTTATTGGTTTTAACAGTAGGCCAACATGGTAGATGAGGCGATACCGCGTGCAGCGTTAACTTAGCATTTAGCATGTTGTGGATCAGAAATGCTTCCATGGACGGAAATCCCTGTTGCGTAGTATTTCATTCTGCATGTATTTGACTGTAGAGCGCACTGGTTGCTAACTATTTGACACAGCATATACTACTCATATCATCTTGTTTGAAATAGCCTGGATAGTAAACTATCTCTCCCCTCTAACTATAACTGAGACTGATTGTTGCTCAGTTCAAACACAGGGATAAAGAGAGAAAATGGGATTTCTAAGCGTTCCTTACCTCATCCTGCTCACAGAAGTCGACGTTGAGGACCTTGGGATTGCTGGAAGGCCATTTGACCCCGTGGAGGGCAGCTCTGGTGGCGACCGCCTCCTCTGTGGTACCGTACTATAAAGACAAGAGGGAAAAGGTTATCGGGCTGAAAATGATTTTAAAGTTGAAACAAACACACTTCTAAAAATAGACACACAGACGTGAGGATAGGGAACAAGAATCACTTAAATGCTTCTGTCGATTCCTGAGCTCATATATGCCTTTCTGTAATAACACACATTCACTGAGGGATTTTATATCCATTCTTAGCGGTATACTCCAGCAGAATAACAGGAAGCCAGATGTAATCCACAATACTCCAACCCTTAGGTACTGACACCAAGCATATTCTATAACCAACACAGGTTAAAAACAAGGGTTTGCACTCGATATAAAGATATCAATGTGTCTGTACTCACTGTGACGAAGCAGTGAGACTTGATCTTGTCGATCCAGAAGCAGTCTTCCAGCACGCTGCCTGTCCTGTTCAGCAGCTCTTTGAGTTGGCCCAGGGTGAAGGGTCGCACCTATGGGATACACAAGGGGCATGACTCAATCATCATCATCAACAGGCGATCAGTTTGAGTAGAGCAAAGGGAAACAGGAGAGAGAAGAGCTGAGCAGACATGACCAAGTTGTGCAGCAGGATATATGGAGAAATCCATGTTCACACACACACACACACTTTACAATACATTTTGCCCTGAGATGTGTGATGCAGGGTGGTATTTTCTATCCGTCTTTGATCCAAGTTTAGCTTATGTGACGCAAGAAAAAAGAAATCTGCAAATGCTGTCATTAAATGTGTAATGTCTGTTCAGTCATGCAAACTTAAGGTGATACTTTGCTGCGGCCGTAATACCTGGGTGAGCGCTTCTGACTCTAATTATGGGAGTGATGTGGTCACCACTGGCATCCTCGCAGAATGCCTCATCCATAAAACACGTGGAATTGGTAAAGCTAGATTTTTCTGTAACTATTTCCTTACACACAACTGTAGTTTGTGGCGAAAAGCTAAAAAGAATAAAATACTGTAATGTCACGCGGTAACCAAACCCACCAGGTTGGTCACATGGATGATTTTTGAGACTTTGCCCTGAGGCGGTGAGGGTTGCCTGGTCGTGCGGACGGGGTCGTCAATGGTGACGGAAACGCCGGACTTCTGTTGACTGATGGAACGACGCACCAGGCTGTCGCTAGGGGTCACTGAGGGAAACCGGAGAAGAGGGGGATCGGTCAAATAAAACTGTCATTTACCAAAATAAGTACAATAAGTGGAGCCAGAGGGATGGTGGACGCAGGGAGGTGCCAAAGAATCAAAGTGAACAGTGAGGCTTCACCTTTCTTTTCGTCTCCTTCAATCTTGACAGATATCTGGGTTTCCATGGCTTCCTCCGAAACACTGTTATTCCTTTTGTCTCTGGAAGTCCTGCGCCGTTTCTCTTTCTCCGTTTTCTCCACCTCCTCCTCCTCGTTTGTCTGTCCGTTTTCCTGAGCGTCTCCTGGGACGACCTGGGGAGGAAAATGAGTTTTAGACAAATGTCAAAAACAGCATTTCTCAAGCTGGTTTTTCCAAATAGAAATTGGCTCAATCACGACTGGATGCATACACGGAAACCTGAAGTTTATATTTAGTAGGTTTACATTATCATAATCTCGATTATTTGGGTCAATAATTGATATCACGACTATTAAAAACTATTATCCATTTACTTTGAAAAAAACTTTGAAAATGTGTAGTATGTTTTTCACAGTTGATTACCCTGAACTTTAAGCATAATTCAACTAGTTTATAATCGTTTTATTTCGATAATGTTGTTTTCATAATCGTTGCAAGCCAAAATCGGAAATGCGATTAAAATACGATTAATTGAGCAGCCCTAGTTTACATAGGTTTAATCTGACCTGTGTGACGGTGCGCCTGATCTTGAGGCCCTTGTCCTGGTCCCCAACGCTGGGGTCCGGGCTCTCCTCGTCCCCGGACATCTGCAGCTCCTCTGGGTGCAGCTCCACCACCGCCTCCTCCTTCACTCTGATGTCAGGGATCAACGACTGAAGGTCACAGACGGGACAAGAAAGGAAAGAAAAATCATCATGGTGTGATTTTTTTTTTACACAATCTATAGGTTGTGACTTCTCTGCAGCGCCACGATACGCATGATTTGGACTGTTACATTTGAAATAACTGTTGATTCATTGTGCAGCCCTAATATGTTAATCACATCTAGCGCACAGAAAGAAAAGATGGATAGCCGTGTTTTGTAAATCATGTGCAACTGATTAAATTAAATCCTCAAACATTTTCCCGGCTTACTCTTGATGTTCTTTATATTCATCACATTCCTCACTTGAGTTTCAAAACATTAACACAGCTGGGAGGAAATCTTGTGAAAGTGTAACTCGGCTGTCTGAGTGAGAGCAATTCATTTTAAAAGCTTATTTTGATCAGTTGAGAGAAATTCATCCCAATTATTATGCAGTCCCCCCCCCCCCCCCCCCCCCTGTCCCGGTCTCGGTGCTGTACCTTCAGAGAGTCGGTGGTGATGCTGATGGATGGTTTCTTGGTGGTGACGGCCGAGCTGGAGCCCCATCGCCTCTTCCTCCCCGCTGCCGTCCCCGACTCACAGTCACCTGCTCCTCCATCTGTGGCGGGTGGAGACGTCTTGCTGCCTGCAGGAGAGAAAAACATTTAGCGGATGATTGATCATTCGCTTTACAGAACTTCAGTGACAGGCTACTGCACGCTCATAGCCTGGAAGAAAAAAGGATTGCTTAAGTACTTTAACCCGAATCGTTTCATGGCAGTGACTCATTTGAGTTTTGGGGGCTTATATATTATTGAACTGTGCGATACGTTCCCCAATATTGGTTCATTTGAAACACTATTCAACATGTAAAACATGTTAATGTTTTGTGCACATTAGCTTATTTGAACTATGGGTACAGTACAGTGTGCAGTGAGGACATTACAAACCTTGCAGCAGGTAAATATAGAAAGGACAACATGACTAGCCATGATCATGAAGAGGGTCCTAGCTTATTAAAGTAGGAGGAAATACTAGGGATGTAACGATACCAAAAACTCAAGGTACGATATTTATCGCGATATTGAAAAAAACAAAAAACAAATATGTATTTTCTTCATTAAATAATAAATCTGATTTGTACAGCATTTTAGTAGATAGTAGTATTTTAAAGTGTCAACAATATAATAATCAGACCCTGCAATAGAATAAATCAAGTTTCACTTTAGTTTTTCAAGTAACTCAACTCTAACTCACTCACTCACTAACTCACTCACTCACTCACTCACTCACTCACTCACTCACTCACTCACTCACTCACTCACTCACTCAGCATCATCAAGGTTATCTTTCAGGAATATGAGCATGTCCACATTTCCAGGTAGAAGCTGGGATGTTTGGGCGTTTATAAAATCCCCTGCTGTGGAAAGAACTCTCTTGCTTGGTACTGATGTTGCTGGGACAGAGAGATATGCTTTGGCCATGGGTGACAGCAGTGGGTCAAACTGTGCATTGTCTCTCCACCACTTCAAAAACAATACAGTGTTTGCCAAGAAGGTGAGGCTTATTGACAGAGATATAAATATACTGTTGGTACTTGTCAATGTCTCTAGGTATGTACATGTAGCCCTGTAAATACGATGTCCTTTTGTGTTATCTGTTGTTTTATGTTCATGTAACCTACTTGCTGCCATGTTGGACAGGTCTCCCTTGAAAAAGAGATCGATGATCTCAATGGGACCATCTGGTTAAATAAAGGTTTTTAAAAAATATATAATTAAAAAAAATGTAATATAGTCTCAGGACGGTATTGAGACATTTATTTACCGCGATATATCGTTACATCCCTAGGAAATACTGTAGCTTGGGGATTTGTTTACATGTTGTGTCCCAAACCAGACATTCGTTTTAATCACAGAGCATGATGCACCAGCATTTTGTAAGATAGGATAACACTGCTTCATTTTTCTCCTTTTGAAATTTGACATTTTAAGTAAAAAAACACTCTGCATTTTTACAATTTTGCACAAGGGTGATCAACACTTTCTTTGACATTCTTGTTCCTGTAGTTTCTCATGTAGCACTAAAGAGGTAACTGGTATACTCACTGGTCAGGGATATCTTACGGGCAGCGAAGGCCTTCTGATTGGTGCCCTGGAAAGAGAGAGATGGAGAGAACATACAGAAACCCCAAGGGTGCGGGGCGAGATGAGAACCGAGGGTCAAAAACGCAAACGGGCAACAACAGAGAGGAGGTGAAACAGGAAAAGTGGAGGAGGGGGTGGGGGTTAGGAGAGAGTCTTGGGTCGATACAGAGACTCCAGACACGTTTCCGCCTTCCACCTCTGCTCAAAGATCAATCATTACGCTAATCCCTGTGAGTGTGTGAGAGGCTCTAAAGACACAGCATGCATTAGCACACAAGTTGGCCTGTGTGAAACTTAAACTGGGTCATATCTCGGAGCGGTAAGTCATTACAACATAATGTCTGATGGGTGTGTTTGAGTGGATTAGGTAACTTTGCCACATTCCTGTGGGGGGATTTCAATATTACCTGCCCTGGTGAGTGAATGTTAACCTTTCTGGAATGAGTCCGTTTGATTTGTTTAACCTCCCAGCTCGATAACATCTATGGAGCTATTCACTTTACTAATCACTACCCATTTGGGAAGAACTTGCTAGTCTTTCCATAATACAAATCCAAACCAGAGAGGTTCTAAAAGTGTATTTCTAAATTTGTTTAATAGCCTTTCATGAGCAGATAATATTCTGCAAACCTGATAAATAACTTGTAATGAATGAAGCAAAAAGTGAAGATGGACCTTAAGGGTGATTACAGCTGGGGGCCCATGTACTGGGGCTCAGATTAAATCCCCTCCATCTCCCCATTTCAATACTGTCACTCTCAAAGGAACGCTTATCTGGCCCAAAAAAATGATGATGCACATTAAAAGACCAAGACCCAAAAAACTAATCCCATGTGAGGTTGCAACATTATGTTTTGTATAGGGTTACTGGTCCAAATGTATATGTATTGTTAGTGCTGATGAGTTCTGTAGAGCAGAGGTGGAGCAACGCGTGTTGGAGACTCAAAGATCTGTCAGCAGGACTTTGGATACTGCAGTTCCTCTAAAAGATGTACCATATTTAGCAACACACGCCTGTAGACCAGCAGTGTATGACATGTGAATGTTTAAAAATACCAAAATAAAACTGCAGTAAATAAACGTAACACTACATTTCAAGAAGAAAAAATATTCCTCTTATTTACAAAAAAGATGTAGAGGAAAGAGATGTTCTAATTGTTTGTGTTTACAGTTAATACTTTTAAAAAAGTGTATACATTTTAAATATAGGAATAATCACAAGTGATTTCCTGGTACCATTTGACACCTGATTCCTTACTGGCTCGACTATGGCCCAACCGCACGACAGTGTGTACTGTATCTAGGCAACAAGGATCCAATCAGAGATGGCAGGGCGAGTGAGGGCGGGGCTCGATTTGAGTGTGCAGATTAGCCACCAGGCAGGAAGTGATCACTGGACTTTTGTTCTTGAATGGGGCTGGGGAGGACTTTTGATCAAAGAGTCACGTTTCAGTCTTTAGGGGAACAAAGAGTTTCAAATTGATGGGGACGGACGGACGGACGGACGGACGGGGGGGGGGGGGGGGCATTCTTTGTTAAAGTCCATGATATGGGAGGTACAAAAAAATCCATTGTATGATGCTTGAGTTTATAGTCTTTCATTGTCCATGTTCTCTAATATACAGCCATTGTGAGGGAAAAGTTCCGTTGAGTTTGAATCAGCTCATGAGGTCTCCATCGAGAAAGGGTTTCGCTGCAGCAGGGTTTGGCACGTTGACAGCACATGTAGAATAAAAAGTGGAAAAAATAATCCAGAAGAATGTCTCTTTGTTACATTTTAATCCAGGTAGCAAAATAAGAGCGTTCGATGGACATTATCTTGAGTACCTTTGCTAGCATGGATGCTCACAGAAATCACACATGATGTAGCGGACAAGTTTTGGGTGTAGGGAAGAGATAGATTCAGAAAATAAATTACTGCAGTCACGTATCTGGAAGTCACATTTGAGTTCCCTGACAACGGGTTGCAGAGAAAGGGAGTTGATGAGTTGTTCATTCGTTGTTATTTGGATGATCAAAGTCACTTGCTGCATAACTGTGTGAGGCACCGTGTCCTTTGAAAGTCTCTAACAGTTCAGGTAACATCTCTCTTTTCATTGCTGATTTCATGCAGGATAAGTAATTGAAGTCTCTTTTAAAAGGCTGGTCAGCTTGTCAAGGCAGAGGATGGTTGTTAGCCTCACAAGCTCAACCAACAGTAGAGTGAGTAATAATGCTTTGTGGTCTAATCCACAACATTTTCCAGGAAAAAGTCCCATAAATCATCATTTCCAAGCAGATTATTTCAGTTGCAGTGTGTGGTCAAGTTTTAAACCCCTCACAGAGATAGTTTAACAGTCATGCCTTAATCACTGCGTGGGTTACTGCAGGCGTTCTCTGTCCAAAGTCATTACTCCACTCCGCAAGCAGAGGGCAGTGTTGGATTACAGGTGGAGGATAAAAACAAATCTGGAGAGCTGAAGATTTTGTCTCCGAGCTGCATCTGGCTTCTGAAGGACGGAGGCGTGGCAGATGGAGGACAACACTTTGAAGATGTGTTTATCCTCAAAAAAGGCCGATGGGAAAAGCGATACAGAGCGTTTGACACCATCATTCATCATCACCGCCGAACAGCGCAGCGCAGTCCGGCTCTGAGGCTGTGCTACCATGGCAACTATGTGCTGCGGCAGTTACCATGGCTGCTGCTTGTCTGGTGCTCCAGTTCCTGCTGGCTCAGCACGTCTCCGTGGAGATACAGTGCAGGCTTTACTCTGTGCCATGGGGGTTGCAGACTCTGGGCCTAATTCAGGTGCCAGCGACGCACTTGGGCATAGCGGGACAGGAGTTGTAGGAGTAGGAGGTGTGGAGGAGGTGTTGGTGGTGGTGGTGGTGGTAGTAGTAGTACGCAGCAGGTACCATTAGGGGCAATGGAAGAGGCATGGGCACCTTCATAACAAAGCAATCAATGGGGTTTTAAACAGCAATCACACCATAAATATATATAGTGAGAGAGAGAGAGATAGAAGCGTTCATGATGGGATACAGAGGTATAAGATGGAAGGTAAGGGGATAAAGAGGGGAGAGTGAAGAATAAAAAGAGGGAGGCAGTGTGAGAGGAGCAAGCCAGAGTTGAAAACAGGGTGAAAGGAACAGCAGAAACAAGCCCTGATGCATCTCTACACACTGTCAGGGCCATTACTCATGCAAACCCAAGGGGGGAATAAAACCTACAAACAGGCATGCTGATAAGGAAGTCAAATCAAAAATGTAAATGAGGCACTCAAGACCTCCGTGCCTGAAATGTGAAGTAATTTAATGGTTTTGGGAATCTGGTTTCAAAAAGCATAAGAAGGAGAGGCACATCTAACATCAACAGTAGCTTCTAGAAGGGTAAAGATGAACTGGTATGTTTTGATAATGTAATCTTAGATACGACTACATTGATACAAAGTTAACCCGACAACCACTTCAGGTTTCTTCTCTAGAACTGTCTATTGGGGCTTTCACACCAACGCGGTTCCAGGGCCGGTTCAGAGCTAGAGCCTGAAAAGCACCAGTTTTTCTTGTTCACACCGTTCGCTGTTATTGATCATTGTGGAGAGCAGGCAGACGTTTTGTTTTGTATTATAGCAGCTATCGGATGGAATCAATACATGGGCTGCACAGGTTGTCGTGTCCGACTATCACAAGTAGAATCATAATGAAAAATACGCCGGTAAAATGTGCCTGTAGAAAACGGCTTGTGCCACAATAGGATAGCAACAACAAGTAGTAAAGATGGTCAGTTTAGCTTCGGTTGCTAGAAAACTGGCATTAGCATTATTAGCATTAGCCCCACGCACCAACGGAGAGAGAATAACTTATGGTAACACAAAAAAAAACATGGTGGAGTGATGAGGTGTCGGCGTTCTGGCGATTTACTCAGAAGGCTTCAGTAGAAGTCCCCAACTCCGGGGACTTCGGGTGGCAGTATACGCCGTGAAGTTGTTTGCAGCCTGCCAGTAAACCCAAAGCAGAAGAAGAAGTGACGTCAGCGGCTTCATTTGCGTAATCTTCCCTCAGGGAACTTATTCCGGTGTGAACGCGATCGGCTCTTATGGCGCGTTTCCACTGCAGCGGGTAGCTCGCTTTAAGCGTGCCGAGCCGTGCGGGGCCCATTTTTGGTTGCGTTTCCACTTGGCCTAGTTTTGGCCCGGGGCTACTTTTTCACCTTTTTTCTGGCCCGACTAAATCGTGGGTCTAGGGCCAGGAACAACCAGGCTGAGTATGCTAAACTAGAGAGAGAATCGCTGGCAAGGGGGCTACAACTACAACAAGATGAACATATTTGACCGTGATTTAATTGTAATACACGTTTCAAAATGATGGCGAAGTAACAACATACTGATACCGGTTAGTAAAAACCATGAATTAATGCTTTGACAAGTCTGCAGACAGACGGCAGGAGAAAAACCCTTTTAAAATGCGTGCTTTCTAAATGGAGCTTGGCTAAGCTAACGTTATATGCTCCGACCGTCCACACTCACAACAACGGCCTATACAGACATAAATAAACCAGCGACTGTATTCGCCATGACACAGGCTGTCTGTGGTTTGTACTTGTTTAACTTTTGTCTACACTGCGTTACTATAGTAACTGCCCCAGTTCCTAAACTGTAATGGAAGCGCAGCATTAAAGTGAGCCGGGCCTAATAAGGCCTAACCAAACCGAGCGAGGCCTGCAGTGGAAACGCGCCATTAGTTCCATGGGTTGTACTAAGTGCTGGGAACTAAGTACAGCAAAGTACTTGATGTGAAAGCGGCTAATGAACCACGGCACTCTGGAGAAAAGTATATGGTTGGAGAAGTCGTTATTTAATTTGATCTGGCTTCGTATGATTAAAAGCAACACGATCATCGACCCGACGCAGTCCCCCGTTGTTGTTGTTGTTGTTGTTGTTGTTGTGAGCGCCGTAACGCCGTTGGGGAGAAAATCAGCGACGTAAACGGTGACGTCATGACGCAGCAGCGGCAGCACCAGTCGGGCTCTGAGCGGTGTGAACAAAACGGGGGCTGAAAAAGAAAAAACGGTTCCGAACCAGAAAAGCTCTGGTGTGAAAGCCCTATATTAGAGCCGAGTAGTGCAAACATTTCCAGATACAACACAGGCTCAATATTTGACCACTGATTCTAAACATCGATCGCTAAACGGCTTCGTGTGTCAGGGCTTTGAGTTTAATGCTTTTCTAACTCACTTCCTCCCTCTATAACACATACAGACTGAAGGAAGCATGCTTTTTCTGCAGCGAGATGTTTCATTTGACCAAAGCACCTCTTGCATTCCAGCGACATCAACACTAAACATCCCTCTCCAGACAGAAAAGGCAAGTGTGTGAGAGATCATCTAAGTTATGATATGTTAGTTGCATTTAACCAAAATGGAGGGGGATTAGTTCATTTCTATTTACCCCAGGACCCAACTCCAACTCAACCCCTGTTTGTTCACATATGAGCATTTGGAAAAACCTTAAAGTGAGTAATCTTAAAGCCATTTAAGAGGTTAAAAAGATGCAGAAAGTGTATAAAGGGCCAGAATCGAGAGGATAAAAACTCCAAGGAATTAGTGGTTATAAAAACATTGGGGTTGTGTTGGTTTCAAGCGATCCCTCTTGGCTTATGCTGCCAACTACACATGCTTTTATATGAATGAGAATGCAGGTTAGTGGGAGACAGAGTGGAGACCCGGGTACCCCCCCCCCCCCACCCTCTGAGTGGCCTTACCTCCTCCAGGCGGCCCTCGCTGCTCTCCGCCTCGGCCCCGGAGGGCGGCTGCTGGGCCATGGAGCTCTCGGGGTCCGGCTGCACCTCCGTCACGGCGGCCGCGCTGGGCTCCGACACCTCCCTGCAGGAAGAGGAGGCGGTTGGGGTGAGGAGGAGGGAGAAATGCGCAAACAATGGTTTCCTTGTGCTGTGGTATCAAAAAAGCCTGTATTTTTTGGTAATAGTCAATTATTTTGGTGGTTATTTAAGTCCTTTTTCAAGCAAAGAATACCTCAAATAGCCGAATTTCACTCTGTTTAATGATTATAAATTCTAATATGTTATGGTGTTCGCCAGTCACAAAAAGCAATACGATAGCATAAAACGGACCTTTAGGATTAGGGCCTTGTAGTGGGCAATTTCTAGCAAGATCTGACATTTAAAAGAAAACAATAATCAAAGAAACGTCAGCAGATGACAAGTTAAAAACAAACACGGTTGCTCAAATGGAAGAAAATCCACACATAGACAAGAAAGACTGCCGTGAAGCTGAGCTCTAGTGACCGGCCAACCTGAAAGGGCGAGTGTGAGAGGAGGCGAAATGATGAGTACGACCAGACAGGGGAAAACACTGAGGAGAGGAAGAGTGCCAGTGATCTGGGTCACTCCTGCTATGAATAACTCCCCAGTTAACTGACACCCAGGGTCCCAAACACTCCTCAAGGTCCAAGATAAACACTCACAGCGGACTCCAGTGTGTGTGGGCTTCATCTAATCCCTACTGGGTCATTAATGAAACGACTCTGCCAATACAAGTCATCTATGCTATGTAGTCACTATGAGTCAGACCTCACACAGCCAAAAGCTTCCTCAAGTGTTTTTCTCGCTGTTATCTAAGGGAGAAAAACAAGTGGAAGTCATCATTATATTTTTAGCTACACCATCAACCTCCATGTGATGACACAGAAACCGCGGCAGCACCCTGTAGGTGGGATGATTGCATCCTCCAGCATCCTTCTCTTTAATATCTGTTGTTTGATTTGTTACATGATGCTTTGAATTTCATAGTTTCACATAAAAAGGAAGTAATTATTACATTTGGTGTATCAGACAAACACATTTTTGGTAGGGATAGTGTATTTTCCCCATCCTCCTCACCATGCTGGATCCCCCTTATTTGCCCTAAGAGGTGTGGATTAGGGGGCCGATTAGGGGGCCGATTATCGGGGCCGATATTCCGCATTTGACCGATTATCAGTATCGGCCTTTTAAAAAAAAATCAAATTGCCGATAAAACTTTGGCTCTGATGCGGCCGTTTCTCTGGCTGCAGTCACCACTCTGTGTACACGAGCAATGTCCCGCCCACAGCGCTATCTGATTGGCTATTACTGAAGATTTTCCGGGCGGGAGCCAGCCAGAGAGGCGGGACCTTCTCAGATTACAGGCAGGTGCGAAAGAACGCAGACACAGACTGAAGCAACGAGCAGCGCTGAGCGGCAGAGCCATACATGTGTTAAACCGAAGTTCAATAAACATCCCTATCCCCTATGCTGAAGTTGCAAAAACACCACGATCTTATGATCCAATTCTATCAGTTTCCCAGTTACACAGGGACGCGGGAAGTCAGTCAGAGTTGAGGGTGCATGCAGCGTCTCGCAGCGGAGTAACGGCCCGTCCACACTACAGCTTCAAAAAAAGCTTGGAGCTGGGCGTGTCTGAAGCTCGACCAACAACCAATCACATGAATCTCCCGCCTCTGACACACAAGCAGCGGTTTGATTGGCTAGAGCTTGTACTGGCATATGATTTGATTGCCTGACGCCTCCACCGAAAGCTTCAGAAGCTTCAAAAGTTGAACATTGCTCAACTTTTGCAGCCTGAAACGCCAGGAAAGCTCCGCTCTGCTTCCCACAATGCAGTTCGGCGAAAAGTGACGTCACCCCATTCAAAGTGAATGGGCAGACGCGTTGGAAACCGTTTTTGAAGCTGTTGAAGCTGTAGTGTGGACGGGCCGTAACTGTGGTGCGGAGGGGGGGGGGGGAGTGGAGCCTCGCAGTTTTTCAGGTTGATATGTGAAGCTCATTAGCTAGCCAACATCTATCTAGCAAATGTTTAGCAAAATATTAGAAGTGAGGCGACTAGACTAACGTTAGGTCTACTGTAATAGCCTCACTTTTAATAGTTTGCAAAACATTAGCTAGCACTAGTGTTTTGCAGTTGCTAGCAGCTTATTGGGATGTTATGCTAGATAGACAGATATAATAAATTAAGCATTATTGTAAGTTAAGCATGTCAGCCTGCAGCCCCACTTTTAACTCTCGGTCTCTCTCTAACTCATTGCAGATGACTGCACTAAAGACAAGGGCACAGAGAGGAAACCAGTTGAGTTTGTGTTATTCTACATTTTGACACCAAGATTTTCTGATTTTACTGCAAATGTATATCGGTTCCAAATATCGGTTATCGGTCTCCTTGATTACTAATAATCGGTATCGGCCTTGAAAAAGCCATATCGGTCGATCCCTAGTGTGGATGCCAGTGTGTGTGTGCCTCTGGGGCAAGGCCAGACACACCTGCACCAGGCCATAAAGGGAGACAGATGTCAACTAGAAATACAATCCCTCTGGATCAGGAGAGCAGAAAAGGCCAGGCTGCTGTGATGAAAAGATCACTAGAAGAAAGGAGGAGTGACTCTGCTTGTCTTTTTTGTTTAAAATAAACCCCCTTTTAGGCCTTTTGTATTCATATGATTAGACTGGAATAAGAAAGCATGTTGAAAGTACAGCTTGATCCTGAGGAACAATATCACAATGGATCACAAATTAAAAAAGGCACTGCTTCTGGTTTAACTTCTCAAAAACCTGACAAAATGTGACGACCCGACACACAAAGTAATATGTATGGTACTGCAACAGAAATACTCAAATCATGTCTGCAACAACAAACTGGTTTCATAAAGCTGACTTAAATATTGTCACCGGTCAAAACAGACTCCCAGGGGACTGGACTGTGAATGCTAGTGCCAGCTGGGAGAATTATTATCACACCATAAGGGTCCATTCACACTTACTGTACAGCTAACAGATGTCTACTTTAATGATCTCCCTTGACAACAGTTAGATCATTAACAGCTACAGCCACAAAAACCCAAAAACAAAAAAATATCACGTGGGCTAAACAACAAGATGCATGTATATTGTGGCCCATAAATGATTCTTAATTGACAACAAAATCATCATTAAAGAAAATACATATTCTGAAATTATCAAAAAAATACCATTAGCTACCACCATGTTGAGGTCAAGAAAACAGAAGGTGGCGAAATCACAGTCCGCATGCCTCTCGTCACTACACCATGAAATCTGAGCCCATTATTTATTAATCAATGTGCTTTTTCAATGTGAAGCTATTTTAGGTAAAGAAAGGAGACCCCCTACCCAACCCAGAAAATAATCCCTGCGCTTTCATTCAACAAAAGGCTGTTACCGGTGGTCCCACCCCCGGTGCTCCTCACATGGGCGAACATGCACACTCATAACCAGGCCGATATGAACTGATGACATGATATGTAACCAGCAAGAAGGCGCTGCTAGGCTAATCAGCATCGCAAAGTACAGCCGTGATGCCGGTAGATCGCGACATGCTAACACCGGCTAATGTACCCCCATCGTTTTCTGTATTCAGGAGGTAAAGGTACTAAAGCCTCGAGTCGCCCTCTGCCTCACTCTTACCCGTTTTTGTTGCCTTCGGACAGCATTACGACCGGCCTTGAAAGGGAACCCCCGGGGAAGACAGAAAATGACACTCTGCCGCTGGAGGCTATCCCGGTCAGGCGTGGGTGGAAAAAGGTGACGAAGAATTTAAACAATCCGGTCTCGGTTTTCTCTACTGCTTATTAGCCGTGCACTGCGTCGGTATCAAGGATGCAATGCATGCATGACGGCCATGTTGGCTAGCCAGAGCAGTGTCAAGTCTCCTCGAGAGAGAAGAAGAATGTCTTCCGGTAGAAGATTACCAAAATAAAAGCTCTGTTAGCTTCTCGGCTAAAACGTGTCGCACTCGGTAAAGAAGTGTTGAATAAGCAAGGGCGTAAACTAAATGGAAAAGGGTTTAACGGTTACACGAAGAATACAACCAGAGAAAGCGGAGAAGGACCTTTCTCAAAGCAACATTAGAAGCAGGTTGTGGGGCTGCCGCATTGAATGCGTGACAAGAAATACAACCTGCTTTATTAGAGAGTGTGAGGAAGAAAGCAATGGGAGTTTTTTTTTTTTAAAAGAGTCCAGTTTAAGAAATGTTGAAAGCATCCTGAAAGCTCTGACCAATGTTTTATATTGAAACAGGCGTTTATTTTGCCTTTAATGCCAGTGTAGTCCTTTCATAGTCAAGGACCAAAAGAACACATATTCAAGTAAAACTGCAAGTTGTTAGTACACAAGTTAATATAATTTAAAAAATAGCAGAATTCATTAAACTATACATCATTTTTGATAAAAACAAAGAGAGCCTCCAGAGAAATGTATCCCACATCACATAGAAAGCAATATTTTCGTTCATGAAAACAAACACTATAGTTTTATTTATTTTTACACCAGTAAGCCACACATGATTGGAAAAATGAATTCCCTTTTTCATTACAAATTAAAGGTGGGGTAGGTCATTTTGGAGAAACCAGCTCGAGTGCGCTAGAATTTGAAAATACACAGCCGGGAAAACTCTGCCACTTCCTTACAGAGCCCCTCCTCCAACACACACGAACGCGCACATGACCAATGAGGGCACGAGATAAGTTTGTGCACAGATGGAAGGCTGACAGGCAGGTAGGCCATCCTGTTACTTTAGCCGGGCCGGCTCAGATGATTGGTCGTGCTTTTTACAGCACTACGGCTTCAACAGATACATTTTTTAATGGATTTTTTTGTCAAAGCACTTCAGATATTCATTGCTATCGGGATGTTAAGAGCATTCCATGGAATATAACAAAAAGTGTATCTCGAGCCGCAGTGGCGGCTGGTGGAAAATATTTTTGGTGGGGCTATGGAAATAGGGACCAAACCATACTAAGGCGGTCCGGGGAGATCCTCCCCCGGAAGAAATTTTTGAGAAATGACCCCTTAAATTAACTGGTGATGTTAGAGGGTGGGGGGGAGGACAAATTGAGGCTTAAAAATATGAGATAATCCATAATCTTCAGTGTGGTTAGCTATGAATCTTCCAAAACGGTGCAACAGTACAGTAGGCCCACACAAACTGCAGAACACTGGTGCTTTGGGAACACTCAAATTATTGAATTCCCATTTAAAATCAGGAGACTAAATACGAACATTATGTGTGTGTGTGTGTGTGTGTGTGTGTGTGTGTGTGTGTGTGTGGTGTGTGTGTCATACTTGCCAACCCTGCCGATTTTCGCGGGAGACTCCCGATTTCATTGCCTTCTTCCCGGGGTCATATTTCTCCCGATTTCTGACAAAATCAGATTTACTCACGACTGTTTCCACTGACTTTAATACAGCTACACCATTGTTTGGTTTCCATGGTAGCGCGTCTCTTTAGCAGCGCGCGCAACTCAAAGTTTGAGAGGGTGAGGAAGATGAAAACTGAACAAGAATCGACAACTCCACCCTCTGCTCACTCCTTTCCTGTAAAATACAGGTCCAGCTCACACATATGCTCCATGGTGCTACAGGCATTGCCCTTACAACTACAATAAGCATGTAAATGTTAATCTACAGCTCCGGCGATCCACTAGCACCGAGACGCAGCCATCCTCGACAATTACTGTAGCGTCACCTTGGATACGAGTCCAAACAACTCAGACACACAGGCCAGGGCGCTGACACGGCGCCGTTTGAGCATCAGATCTGACGACGCTGATTGGCTGAAATTATGTTTCGGCGGCATAGTTTACAGATAGCAACAGTCAGCTTGTTGGCTGCTGCTGCTCTGGCTGAGGGCTCCTTTCTACCGCCCGGACGAGAGAGGGTAATGATACACGCTGCGGCCAGGCAGGAAACATGTGACTTATCAGTAACTTTAGATATCGTAAAACAATTTGAAACGAGATTTTATTGTAGATTATACATTTTACTGATACCAATTATATAATATTTACCTTGTTCATTAAAAATAAAAATAAAATAAAAAATATATTTTTTTAAATATATATATATATTTTTTTTTAATGACAATCAAACATGTGGGAAGAGGGTGGGCGGCGCCCCTAGCGCCCCTATGGGCCGGCCGCCACTGTCGAGCCGGTTTCTCAAACTTACCTACCCCACCTTTAACTGTATTTCATCGATGGTTACTGACCTTGTTGAAACGTGTTGTTTCTCTGCCCCTTTACTAAGGTCAGTCTTCTTCTCCTCCTCTGCTTTATGTCCTTGGTTTGGCTTCTGTAAAAAAACATAAAAATGATGAAGGCAGGGTTTTCAATAAAATACATACAGGAAAGCTGAAATAATGTTAAGAAGAACAACACATTTAATTAGCTCACTGACCTTCAGCTGTCTGGCAGGGCCGGTTTTAACCCCGGAGGAGGAGGAGGAGGATTGTGATGAGTGTGAAGAGGATTCGGAGTCTGATGAGGAACCTGAGTCTTGGGCCTCAGTCACAGCCACCCTGCCTTTGTGGACTGTCTCCTGTTTCCTCTCCTTCTCCTTTTGCAGCTTCTCCTCTCGTATCTTCTCCTCTTCCTGGTGTTTCCTCTCCTTCTCCTTTTGCAGCTTCTCCTCTCGTATCTTCTCCTCTTCCTGGTGTTTCCTCTCCTTCTCCTTTTGCTGTTTCTCCTCTCGTATCTTCTCCTCTTCCTGGTGTTTCCTCTCCTTCTCCTTTTGCTGTTTCTCCTCTCGTATCTTCTCCTCTTCCTGGTGTTTCCTCTCCTTCTCCTTTTTCAGTTTCTCCTCTCTTATCTTCTCCTCTTCCTGGTGTTTCCTCTCCTTCTCCTTTTGCAGTTTCTCCTCTCGTATCTTCTCCTCTTCCTGGTGTTTCCTCTCCTTCTCCTTTTGCAGTTTCTCCTCTCTTATCTTCTCCTCTTCCTGGCGCTTCCTCTCCTTTTCCTCTTCCTGGCGCTTTTGCTCTTTTTCACGCTGCTTCTCCTCCTCTTCCAGGCGTCCCCTCTCTATCTCCTGCTCTTGTATCTTCATTCTTTCTCTCTCCTGCTTCTGCTGTTGTTCTCTCTCTTTCTCCTCCTTCAGGCGCCTTTCTTCCTCCACGTCTCTGTTCTCTTGGAGCCTCTTTCTCTCCAATCTTTTCAGCGGAGAATCACCAAAACTGGCAAACGCGGCAGTGGAGTGTGCCGCCGCCTCTCCTGACAGATCCACAGCGGAGGTGGCCTCTGCTGCACGGAAAGCCCCCTCAGAGTCCATCCTGTGTGCGAGCAGAGAGAGGGGCCCGGGCCTTCGCTTCATAGAAGGCTCCGGACTGCTGGAACGAGAGCTCGAGTCAGAGTCTTGCCTCTGCATGGTGGAGGAAGGTGGGAAAGACGGCCCCCTGGGACCACGTGAAGCCTCGGGCCTATCTCCTTCCTGGTCCTCTGTGTCTGGTGGGCTCTGTTTGGGAGTGTCAGGTAGGGGAAACAGGTCAGGGGGGGGAGAGGGAGGAGGGGTGGGGTGGCGCAGTTGCATTGGTGTGTGGTGTACCTGTGGTGGTGGGATGTGCTGGGGAGGCTGGAGCTTGCGTTTGGATCTGGCAACTGTTGACGGGAAGCTGGGAGGCATCTGCTGCGGCTGGGGCGGCGCTCTGTTTCCCCTCCGCGCCCCGCCGGGACCGGGCCCCCAATCCTCATCATCCTCGCTCTCGTCATCACTGTCGTCATCATCGCTGTCCTCGCGAGCCTGACTGCCCCCTGAGACTCCAGCTGATCGGCTGAGGTGGAGGACGGGGTGCGCGGATCCCGGTTCGCTCGGTGCGGTGCCCTCCTTCTCCTGGGCGCGCGGCACGGCGGGGGGCAGCCCCTGGCGGTCGGGCTGGCCCAGGACGCGCACCGACAGGGAGGCTACGGCGCGGGGGGGAGACGGAGCCGGGGGCTCCTTGTGTCCCTGGTGAAAGGTGGCTCGTTGCATCCTAGCTCCTGGAGCCTCGAGGAACTCCTGCGGGGGGAGGGTAGGACCCGGGCCCATGTCGGGGCCGCACGCCATCATCCCGTGAACCATCCCTGCATCTCCTCCTCCTCTCTCCTCTGCCCGGGGCAATAAGGGCTTGGGGGGTATGGAGTGATTCTTCTGGGCAGAAATATTTAAGTCAGACTGACAGATTGCACACAATTTATTTAGCCTTTTCTACTTGTGTCAGGTAAATATGTTTCTGCTGGAGTTACTTGGAGTACGGGCACACATTATCATTCTTACTGACTCGTTGTGTTTTTAATACTGACGTTCAATATCATCTCTGTCTCTCATCAACTAAACAAATACAAATAAGTGAAATCCAAGATGACAATATTTGTTCTATCTTCTCATTAACATGTTCCAAGCAAGGGGAAGGCTTTGCCAAGTGTATGATTACCAAAGTTAGATTTTCAAAACATTATCTAAAAAACACGTTACAATGTGAAGCGTTGTGTCTAGTTCTTCGGGATAAATCCTTTCCTCATTTGACAATTCAACACTTGGAGGTCACTGACCTTGTCACTGACATAGGAGGAGCTGTCATTGTCCTCCGAATGGTCTTCATCCTCCTCCTGCACGGCTGAGCTTTCTGTCAGAGGGACACAACACGAGGCAGGGGTTAAAGGTCAGCCTCAGTGTGAGGATTAATGGCACACACCCCCACGGTTGCTAAACCAAGACAACTTTTGAATGAGTCAGGATGAGAAATGAAATCATCTTCATTTGATCTTCGTGTAACACATTTAGAAGTACAGAAGTGTTTGACAATATAAAGTATTGCTGTAAGAGACAGAGTGTGTGGGGAATAGAGACACAATGATTATCCATCTCTTTGAAGTGATATGACCAGTGTTCATGTGACAGAGAATGTGTTTATCGTCTGATTTGTGATTGTTGGTGTTACCGTCTACTGCTTCGTCCTGCTGGGCCTCTCTCTCCAGCCTCTCGTGAAGGAGCTCCTGCTGTTTAGCCAGGTACTGTTTTATGAAGCTATTCTGGCTCATCTCCTCACCAATCTACAACACAATAACATACATAAAACATCCGGTTATTATTTACGCTGTTCTAATAATTGTTTGTCTTAGAAGGGACTATGCAATGGGTTGATCTCTGAGTTATACTCTTGAACAGATCTCAAATTGCCTACACATTAAAATAGTAACATCTATTCTTACCTGCGAGTTGGGCTGCAGCCCACAGTGAGAAGACGACGACTTCTGGAGATTTTCGAGCATCAGAGCCTGCCGGGAATAAAGACGTGGGATTATTAAAAGGTTAAATACTGTATCATGAGCTTCGGTTTCTGTTTGTATTTAACTTGGCAATCAAGTTTTAGATTTTATTGTAAAACTCATACATTTTAGGTTGTTTATTTGCGAGTGAGTTGCTACCTTGGTCATTTCTACCCACTAAAATGTATTTGTAATTTATCTGGTTACTTGATACTGTTAATATATCTTAGTTTTATTGAACTGATTAGTTATAAAGTATGTGAAATTTAAACAATTTAAGAAAGTATATTGAAATGTTATTAAATAGTTGAAAATAATGTAGGTCTATGATTTATTTCTTATGCCATAGTTAAAACGGTGGAGATTTAAATCCAGAGCAAACTTACACCTTTAATATGGAAAATCCAATTGATGAACAGAACAGTTAACCTGGTAAATAAAAGTATACCCATAATACACTGTTATTAGACCCATCTTATAATAATAATAGATTTAATTTGTTAGCGCTTTTACAGGTGCTCAAAGACGCTTTACATATATAGTGAAGATAAAATAAAATAAAGGAACAACAAATAAATATATAGTTAAAGTTAAAGTCAAATAACACAAAAACAATCACACATTAAAAGCCAGATTGAAGAGGTGAGTTTTTGTAAGTTTGTTGAAGGTGGTGAGGTCAGTGCAGTCTCTGATGGGTTGTGGGAGTGAGTTCCAGAGGGAGGGGGCAGCGACGGAGAAGGCTCTGTCCCCCCAGGTCCGGTGATTGGTGCGGGTACTGTTATTACACCAATGTTACACACAGTCAGACTGTCAAATAAATCCATGAAAGGGTTAAACCTATGGTTGTTTATGGGCTGGATATATTGTGCAAAAACAACACTGTTGTATAACGAAATAAATAACTTCAAACTAAATGGTGAAGCACGTAAAATGTTGTTTACATGACGAAGCGCGCCCCCGACAAACTCACACACGCACGCTCATGTACTGTACACTATGTGCGATTGCTTACACTCAGTTTAGGCCTCGACTTGACAGGTGCACAGTTCAACTGTGTGCAACACGGTGCACTAAGTGAACTAACGCATGTATTGTGAACTCAGTCGGTTGGATAGTTTCCTGGTACTGTCAGTTACAAATAACCGAAAACAGAAACTGGTGTTCATGTGTATTACCGTGTGTTAGACGGTTTATTTATTCCCGCTTCTGAAGCCTTAACCCCCACCATCTCTACTGAACTTAGATAGACTCGACAGGCTGCCATAACACAAGTGAAAACTCACCCCTTTCAGTCGCTTAATGAGCGCATTTTTCTGTCCGCTCTTGGGCAGGTTTCTTTGCTCCAAAGCAGCTTTTAAATCCGCAACCCGGAGCGATTGTAGAGGTTTTCCATCAAGCGTAATATCTTCGTCCGCCATTTTGCTCCCCTTCGCTTGTCTAAACTCCAACAAGCGTCGCTACGTCTGCTCTTCGGCGTCACCGTTCGGCAGTTTCCGTTAACACTCGGCTTTTCGCGAATCATAACAGAACTGTTGGAAGAAGAATTGTGCCAAATGCCAATTTAAGTCCATAAATAAACACTTCAATGCAATAATTACAAATAAAGACAGATAATATATTATTCTGAAGTGGACTCATTTGCATAAAAAGTACTAAATAGGTACTTTTGTTCTTTTACTTAAGTACAGTTGAATGCAGAACTTTTACTTTCAAGTATTGCAGCACTCGGATGTTTAGTAGTCAACGTAAATGTAACGTCTCTGAAGAACATTATTTGTGGCAAGGCAAATGGAAATACTCAGCAAATATAATACAATTAAAATAACAAAACGTTTATATTTTTGACAGGCACAACGTCAATGAATAATCCGAACACATTTTAATTGCAAAAGATGTATTTGTGCATTCTGAACAGTAATACAAGACAGACATCAAATGTAGTGTTAAAAGTAAAGAGGCGTATTACTGTAGGAGAAAAGTCAAATATTCACTTTTATACTTCAGTAAATACGGACTCAAATGAGTTCACATAGTGTAAAAAAAAAACGTCCTCGTACAAAAGAAAATACAGCCATACCTTGGAACTGTAATGTAACATTTATCTGGGAAAAAACATTTTGTTCGTTGTAAATGACCCAGTAAAATCACCCCATGGTAAAAGGATGTGCATATATAAAATGTAAGCAAATTAAAGCCATGCAAACTGAACGCAAATAACATAAGATTTGACAGTAATAAATATACTGCTAAAGGTTACTTGCTCTCTTCAAACATACAGTTTTTTAGAGCCTGTTTTGGCAGGCAGGGTTTCATCAAGCAATACTTCAAACCTCCACAAGGTGGCACTGCAGCAGAGAAGATGCAAAAAAGAAAGAATAATTTAAACTGATCCACACAACTGAGAAAGTAATTATGCATTGATACTGATTTGGATCTGAAAAAAGGTTAAGCAATATGACTGAGGTTACAGAAGTATTATCATCAAGAGCACCTTTGTAGAGTTGAGATGTGTAGTGTAAATATGATAAGCATCGTACCTTCCAGTCAGCTTTATGATCCATCACAGCTTCTGCTTGTGTGCACACCAACATAATAATACGGTATGAATGTTTAGGGTCAGAGGTCAGACTGAAGTACAATAGTCTGAGATGGAAAACAGGTAAGTGTTTTGTATTTAAAATGCAAATAAATCCCCCTTATTAATAAAATAAAGTGTGCTGTGCTTCCTCAGCTGGGCGATATGGTTAAAGATGTATATATAATGAATTATATATGCATCATACCCAGCCTTAGTTTCCACCTGACTTGAAACGATTAGATGTGAGAAAGCACTGTTGACAGGGATGACGAGCATCTTATGGGAAATGAGCATGAAAAGCAGAGAGGTGAGCATGCAGATCATAACAAGGCGTGTGCAGACAGGTTAGCTTGGTCAACTGGTTTCTCTTCCATTGCCAGGCTGCCATGTGACCGTGGGAAAGAACAGCATTAGGCCTTTTCTCACCGAACCATCATTACTCACTCTTATCCGCTCAAATATTTTCAGGATTTTAAATGTCTTAACGTAAACAGAAAATGTATTGAGGGATTTGTATCTTATTGAGTGCATTACAAGCTGTACTGATCTTTGCCTTGATGTGGATATGGGTACTTCACAAACACAACACACTAGCACGGAATCAGTGGAGGCGAGGCAGACTTCCTACTCCACAGCCTATTCCATGTCTTCCATAATAAGCCCGAAACACTCGATACGCTGCTTCCAACAGCTTCAGAATGATCATCACAAAAGGCCGTTCAGGTTAACAGTAAAAAAAGTAGACCAGAAACAGGATGCAAGGCCTCGTTCTGTGCTATTTGTGGAAGAGGGGGGATGGCTGAATAAATAGAGGAAGGAAGGAAAATGGCTATCATGTGAAGGGAAGAAAATATGGCAAACACAATAAAGCAAAGCTCCCAAGATAAACAGTCCACACAGACACTCAAAGCCACGGAGAGCCTTCAAATATTCAATAAGTTAACACTCAAAAACACAAGTGTGCCTGGCTTCAAAGCACGGAGGTCAGTGTATCAACAAAAGGCAAACCGACACACACTTGAAGGACAGGACCAACACTCACAACCCTCAGCAACCAGAAAGCATATTCCTTCGCTTGCTTCAATCCCACTTAAACCGAAAAAAAGATAAGGTAATGAAAGAGTCCGACAACAAATAAGGCATTTTCAAAGAGGGAAAAAATATGTGTAGTGTAAACAAAGTTTTCTTTTACGAGAGCGATACGGAATATCATGAAGATATTTCCGCCAGCCGCTGCAGCAGCGTGGAGAAGCCAGCTGCCTGCTGGGAAAGCTCAGCGACCCGGTCCACCATTTCCTGCGTGGCGGGCACTGAAGGGTAGTTTTGTGCAGCTCCCTTTGTGGCCACGACAACCGTCTTCAAGGCCTGACAGAGCCGTCCCCCTGAGGTTGTGATCTAGAGTTTTAAAAAACACAATTATTACAACATTTAGACCCATTCTACATGTCCAACAAGAGTAGGGCAGGTATCATTTGTGCATTTATCCCTCATCGTTCGTGATTCCGTGAACCCTTCAGGTTTCTGTATACTGGGGAATACAGTGATTTGACAGCCTGTGTAAGAGGGACACACACACACACACACACACACACACACACACACACACACACACACACACACACACCACACACACACCACACACACACACACACACACACACACACACACACACACACACACACACACACACACACACACACACACACACACACACACACACACACACACACACACACACACACACACGAGAGGTTCCAGGTTGAATTCAGAGGTTGTTGTGTTTAATATTCATGAGAATATTTGTCATTGTTCAAATGATAATAAACATTAGCATAAAGCATATTTGTCCACTCATATGTTGATAAGAGTATTAAAAACTTGGAAAATATTCCTCTAAGGTACATTTAGAACAGATCAAAAATGTGCGATTAAATATTTTAATCGACTGACAGCCCTAATAACAATGCAATAAGAGTGTAATAGTGGTGTAAAATGAGTATAATAACAGTCTTAAATGGGTGTAATAACGGTGTAACATTATAAGTGTGTAATACGGAGTGTAATATTGGTGAAATACTGGTGTTATAGGGGTGTATTATTGTGTGATAGGGGTCTAATGTAGAAAATAGCAATCAATTCACTTTCCAAAATGTTTATATGCGACTATATATATATATATATATATATATATATATATATATATGTTTTTATTTCTACATGCCTTGGCGCGGAGGTCTGCAGAGCTGAGAAGGCGGGAGAGCGTGTCCCCGATAAAAACCAGCTTGTGCGCCGTGACGATGAGACTCTTCCCTCTGGCCACGAAGATGCGGGGCGGCTGGTTCCCCTGCACGCTGCTGAAGAGCACGTCGATGGCGTCCGCCAGGCAGGAGAGGTGCGCCAGGCTCTGAGACGAGTAGAAGGACAGCAGCTCCGAGTCCTCCAGAGAGAGGGACAACGGGAGGGGGGGGGACGGGGTCAACTGTGCAAAGAAAGAGGGAATAGTGTCAGTATGTAAGGGAGCCAAACAGAGACAGGAATGCTACTGCCATGTCATTCTTCTTAGGATATAGCACAAACAGTGGATGGCTAAGTGCACTTTTGACAAGTTTTCCACTTTGAATCCATAAACAGTTGCAAATATCAAAACAGGGAAAATGAATGAGACGCTTTGTCAGATTTCTTTTTTTAAATCATTGAAACTGCAACAATTAACTGAATGCTACTTCCTGCATTGTTGATTAGCCAACCATTTCCATCATTGGAAATATGCATATAGTAAAAGCCAAACATTTGATGCTTTCAGCTTCTGGACGGTGAGGATCTGATGCTTTTCTTCGTCATACATCATAGTAAACTGAACATGTTTTAGTTTTGGACAACACAAGATATTTTTAAAAACTAAATGATCATTTCCCTGTCTTTTCTGACACTTTACAGACCAATAATAAATCCAGAAAATGACCGACACATAAAGACATGGAATGAGTAAGTCAGGAGCACCAGGGCTTCGTCATGTAAACACTGGTAAGCAGACCTCTCTGTGCCTGTGTCACTGCAAAGCAAGGCGTGTTCCCTAACTTGCTTTTGAATGCATCTTACGGGCCCACACGAAACTTAAAAGCCAGACAAAGTCAGACACTAATACAAACGGTACGTCAGCAAGTGAGACTGTTGAAAAGAATGACTGTGCTTTCCTGTCACTTATTGTCCTGCTGCCTCCGTTCCATGTGAGGCAAGATTGTTAAGATTTACAAGTGACCTCTTGTTGGCCGTCTATGGCGTAAACCAAGGAATCTTGCGAGGAGCAGAGAAAACATGACCTCAGCTTCAAACTAGAGAAAAACTGACCTTAAAGATACCACAAAAAACAGTATATGATTGTCATTTCGCCGTGTAAGCAACATCTCAGACTGCAGGCTTGCATGTTCTCAGAAGAACAAATAAAGAGGTGTTTCATGATAGACGGACTGTCCAAATCAACAGTCTTAGTGTAGACTAAGAAGGGTTAACGCCACATTAAGAGCCAAGGAGCTGCAGCAAGCGGGATTAATGAGTCACCGCGCTCATTAGTAAACAGTGTGCTCAGGGTGAATCAATGACCTATCTGTGCAGACTTGCTGCGTGTGGAAACTAGGGATTGTATATAGGGAGGTCGAGGAATAAACAATCAAAACAAGAGGAAGTTACTCACTGTTGGGTCTGCTGTTATGTGTCTGCAGTCACCCAGGACATCAGGAAGTGGCTCAGGTTTGCCCTGGTTTCAGATGAAAAAGTCAGGAATGTTATATATAACATAATAACAGACCACGTTCGACTGCAATTTAACCATTTAACAGCACACAAACTGATGTGTTTAAGCACAGAAAAACATCAGAAACATTTTAAGCTTCGCTCCTTTCTTTCACATTCAAATACAAATGTATGCATGTCCAGGGACGTGCAGACATTTGGAGGGGCTATTGCTCTAAACTGGAAAAAGGGCCTCCCCCCGACAAAAACACAAGACCTTTTGAAAATTGTAACTTATTTAAAAAGGTAAAGTCTCCTGGTGTGTCCCTTATACCCTAACTGCCATGAGAGAACTCAAAATCAAGTTTCCAAAATCCGACACTGAGGTGGTCGTAACGCACCGGCAGATGACAGCGCTGACAAAGTGTGTTTCCCGCAGCGAGACGCTACAACACTAATTGTGGGCTTATCATGTTGATTCGGCCACAACAGAAAAAATAAAAACAAACTCACTCTCTCCAGAGGGGCAGTTCAGCCAAAAAGGCCAAACGGGCCGTTGCCCGGGCAACATTAGCCCGTACCTGTGCACGTCTATATATTCTGTTAAAACCCTATATTTCTGCACAGTTTAGCAATAAAGATTATGCATTAATATTATTAGCATTAGATTCCAGGCTGTGCTGGTTTGTGACAGTTGTGTAATCTGAACATTTCCAATAACTTCAGTCCAAAAGTTAACATGTATTGAAATATTTAAAAAAATATATATGGATGAATCTATTTATTCAAATGATGGACTTTGAATCTTAAAAAGAGATATGAATGTTCACACTGATGTTGAGAACAGTTTTAATGTCATTATAAACACTGACCTGCAGTTTGACGTATCCCACACTGTCCCCTGTGGGAACAGGGGCCGGCATGGGAGTTAAGCCGATCCCTGCGTACTCATTGCTGGGGTCGTCTTCTCCATCAGAGGGGCCCACCGTCAGCGTCACCGTGGACTGAGTGGGGGCCAAGGGGAAGGCAGGCTGAGGGGTTGGGGGAAGAGGCCTCTCCTGGATCCAGCTTCCTTTACGCGAGCCCATCCCGCCTCCTGAAGACTTCCCATCAGGCACTGGGAGCGCGGGCAGCGGCCTGCGGGACAGGGAGTCCTGGGAAGGCAAACGTGGTCGACCCTGAGCCTGCAGGAGGAGGGCGCTCTCCTCCAGGGAGCGCTGGACCAGCGTCAGCAGCCCCTCGGACGGAGGGGCGCTGCCGATGGCGGATAGCGACGGCAGGAGGTCGGAGAGGCGAGCCCACGTCTGCTGGAAAGGGGGGGGGGGGGTCGTCGGAGAGACACGCTTTCCAGGTGGAGAGGATCTCAGCCAGCGAGGTGGCCAGGTCCCGTGACGACAGCGTGGAGGCGGAGCTCAGCACAGAGTGGACGAGGTTGGAAAGCGTGACCCTCCACTGCATGTCCCCCGATCCGTTACTCGAGACAGAGAGGCGGCGGGTGGAGGTGGACGAGGACGACAGAGAGTGAGCGAGGAGTTCGGTAGTCAATGCAGGCATGTCGTAGATGCCACAGTCGGGCTCACAAGAGTCCCGGTTCTGATAGCCGCTGCTGGCTCGTTTCTCCGGGCCGGGGACACGGTAGATCTGTCCTACGTCGTCTCCGGAGTGACTGAGGGTGGAGTCTCCCGGGCCCAGAGGGACACCAGGAAGCGTGGGGACACTGTAGACATCGTCATCAGCTTCATCAGGCTGGAAGTCAGAGACATTCAGAGTGATGGAGGGGACATCATAGACCTGCAAGTGAGGGAAGAGAAAGGAAATGTTTATACATCACGTTGTTTACTTTATGATTGTGAGGGCGGATGATAACTGTAACAGAATGTATGCATGGTGTTAAAACACAATATGGGGTTTCTCAATCGATTTTATTACATTGTTTTGGGGGAATATCTGCAGCAAGAACGTTATACCGAAAGATGGCCCTATTGATGTTTCTAATCCTTATGTCACATTAAAATAATAATATTGGTTGGTGGTCATTGATTAGGCAAATGTATAGCACCCCAAAAAGGCCTTTAACGCAGATATTTTTCAAAATTTGAATCTGTTTTGGTTATTTTATGACATTCCATTAAAAGGTTGTATTGTAAATTGGTATGCTTGGATTTGGGCTCATTCAAAGTAAGTGTAATCAAAGCCTAAATGGCTTCAAAACAGTTATTTAATTATTTATAATGAAGATTTCTTTCTGTTTACCTTGCAAAAAAGTTGAATAAATGACACAAAAAATTGCCGTCGGGCATAAATGTTCATTTAAACCTCGGTATCAGCTCACAATTGTACCATTGATGCACCCGGAGTAACATGTTTGGTAATGTTGGTTTCGATTGAAGACTTCTTTTAAACCTGGCTTGTGCTTGGATGACCAGACTGAACTTGTTAAAGTAAAAAAACTGGCGTCATAGAGTCACCACAAACACCAGAGACACATGTCCTCTTAAACAGCTAAAAGCACATGCAGTTATTCCAGGCAAAGAGGGAAACACCATAACAGCTGGTGGACATATTTAGGCAACATTAGAGGGGAGACCACTGGGGGCAGGGTGCTGCTGCTGCTGCGGCCTTGGCATGGCCCTGACAGGCGGGTGTGACAGAGAGAAAATAGCAGCAGCACTCAAGACTGGATAGACAGGCTCCCCCAGCAGAGAGAGACAGGTGTGGCCTTGCCTAGAAGGGGCGGGGGGGGGGGGGGGGGGCAGGGAGACACGCTGATGGCGGAATGTGGGAAGAAATGTGGACGGGCTATCTCTCGGTGGGGAATCGTGACACTTGTACAGACATGATTTCAACAGTTCACAGTGGCTTTAGACTGTCATGAAACTAAAGGAGCCGCGTGATTATAGGCCAAACACACGTAGGAGGAAAACCACCGAATAGCCTGTGTTGTTGAAGTTTAACGGCTGCGAAGTGACTTTAAAAAAAAAGGGGCTGCAACTATTTTCAGTATCGATTCATCTGCAAATTATTATAAAGTAGTTTGAAAAGTACATTGCCGTTTCTTAAGTCAAAGGTATTGTCATTTAAAAACAGGAAGATGTCATTCTAATATGATGTAAAACAAGGAAAAGCCAGAAACCTTTACATTTGAAAAGCTGAGAACAGCATTTTCTGGAAGTTACTTTAACCAATAATCTGTTGTGTCAAAAAGTCGGTGATTATTTTTTCTCTCAATCAATGAATCCTTGCAACAAACAATACATCTAATTTAAATGAAATTCCCCCATTTTAAAAACAACTCTTTCTGTGGCTGTTTCTTTACCTCATTCTCAGAATCCCCTAGCGATGGGAGACAGCGGGGGGTGTCATAGATCCCATTGTCGTCCTCATCACCAATAGAAGATGGCACTTGACGCTGCCACCTGCCGCTGGGAGGGGTATCATATATCTGCCAAGACGACAAAAGCCCAAAATGAAGTTATGTTGCAGGTCTTGGTCGACAGAAATGTATCAAAACACAACAAAACTCAGACCACATGCAAATTCTCACAACAGAGGAATTTGGAATATAAATATGTCTGCTAAACAACACAATTTAAGCGTACTAAACAACCCTTATAAATCATGACATACCTGATCGTCCACAGCATCTGAATCCTGATGTTCTCCTTTTTTGTTCTGCATGTTGTTGCTTTTCTCCAGCCCGTTACTCATCCTCTCCTCCTTGCTCTGAGGAATCCCCCTCTGTTTGTCCTCCTCTTGCTGCAGGCTTGCAGGAGTGACCTGAGCGGTGGGTTTGGGTGAGTTAGTATCTGCTGACGATGCTGAATCTTTCCTGGTGACTCCCCTCACTGGAGGTGCTGGTGGAGGGGGTTTGCGGGTGAAATTTGGCGATCCAAGAACCCTGACCTGCCCTGCTCTGATCAGCATAGGAGACCCCCGGTGACACCCCAGGCCGGGTTTACCCCTGGCTGCAGCTGGGTTGGGTAAAACTCCCTTTAGCAAAGGTCTGGGAGATGCTTGGGCAGGGGATACTGGAGATGGGTGCTGATGGGCCAAAACTGTGGCTTGTGTCCTGTGGAGGCATGCTCCAACAGCGGTGGGTGTTTGGTACATCTCAGGTGAGCCCTGGCTTGCTTTAGAGTGGGGGGGTACCGGGTGTTCCGTTTGAGCCATTCGAGCAAAAAGCAGTGGCTAAAATCCCTCCAGTTGGAGATTGGTAAACATCTTCCCCTGCAAGCGGCGTACCTTTAGGCACCAAGTAACAGTCGTCTGAGTGTTCTGTGGTTAGTGTTTCTCTTGGAAATAGATATGTAGTGTCCTCTGGTTCATCAGCAGCCCTTGGAAGTCCTGTGGGGGCGAGGTACACGGACTCTGAATCCATGAGAGCTGCAGAAGGCATGGGACTGACTGGAGACTGATAAAGTGCTCCTGATGTTTCCGTGCCTCGTCCTCTGAGGGAGGGTGAGCGCGGACGTCCCCCGATCCCTAAATCCCAGTCAGGTCTGGGCCGGGTGCCAGAGCTGGATTGTGAGCGCGGGCGCCCTGCCTCGACCCTGCGGAGCTCCCCCGGCCTCGAGGCAGCCACTCGGCTCTCACCCGCGCATGGAGGGGAGCGATACACTCCGTCTAAGTCCTCTGCACTGCTGCTGACAGCAGAGCGAGCCAGTGGGGGGACAGGGGAAAGGTAAACAGAGTCCTCAGTGGAGCCTCGACGGGGATCAGAGCCCGGTGGTGGGGCGGTCTGGAGGAGACGGAGGCGGTTGGCAGGGACAATGCCCTGTCGGCCATGCAGGGAGCAGAGCCACCAACCCGGCCCACCACCCTGCTCCTGTTCAAGAACCATCAGTATGTCGCCCTTCCGGAAAGCCAGCTCCTCCGGGCTCTCTGCCGCGTTGTCGAACAGCGCCTTTGCCAAAACCGTCTGAGAAACAGGACGAGACAAGAGTAGAAAACATAAACACGCACCCTCCTGTTCAGCATCTCTCACACCAAATGGCCATTTAAAGTAGCTTTTAATTCACACAAGCAGTCAGCACACCACAAACAAACAAGTACATTGACATGGCGATGAAAAGTCAGGGGTATAAAAAGGTTGATTGTTCAGGGCTATTGAAAGAAGAGTGAATAGGAGTGAATAGGGAAGATCTCTTAAAATGTCTATGAGAGATAAAGAGAGACAGGAAAAGGAGGGGTAAGCACAAAAATGAATAATATAAAAGCTAGAATCATGACCGAACTCAAAATTCACAGCTGTGTCAATGATTATGAGAGGGGGGGGGGGGGCACAGTCAGGGAGGATCAATGATCAGATGGACGCAAGGGCTTAAATGGTAATGAGCGGGTTGAGAGGGAGGGGGAGGGTATGAGAGGCACATCTGTCCCTGGCTGTTTAGAATTTAATTGCCCATCGCAAAGCCAGAGAGTCAGGCCCCCTTTCATTTTCTAAACCAACCCCCTGGGGACAGCTGGGCTCTATTGAGCCATGTGGGACCCCCTAAAACAGTAATGGAGGCAATGAGGGTCGAGATAAAATAAATAGATACAGTAGATAATATACATTTTAGAGGTAAAAACATGGCTTTTTTAAAGTTTCAAGTTAGTTTTGATCACATCTGATTACCATCAGAAGAGTACATGCAAATTCCTAAGAGTACATGCAAATCAATACAAACAAAAGAGACAAATACTGTACTCACGGAGACAGACATTGTTGCAAAGTTATCAGTTGTGTCTCAGGAAAACTATAAATCAGTCGGGGTAGTCCATTTAGAGCAGGATCTGGTTTTCATGGGTGTGTTGGTCTCCGGAGAGGCTCGGTGCAGAAGCACAGCTGAGTCCGGGCTCGACACATGTTTAAAGTCCCGGCGCCTCGTCGTCTCTGCCTTCATTCGATCCCTGCATAGGTGTAACACACAATTTCTTCACGACACATTCATAACACACCGAGACGGTTACTCATACGTTGCGAGGCACATGTGCAATGAAAGGTGGGCAGGCAGCGACAACACCTGTCTCTACTTTCCACGCCCAGTAACGTGAATGCAGCCCGCTAAGCGAAAGCTAAGGTTAGCTTAGCTTTGTAGCTAAATAAGTGGTGTGCACCATGGATGTATAACGACAACTGGATACACCGTTCATTTCTATGAGAGTTGCTCAGTGGCGCATGAAGCCCAAATTGGAGCGAGAAAGTACCCGGATGGCCCGGGCCCTTTTGCATACTGAGCATGCGCACTGGAGTTTCCCTCCCATCTCGCGCTCTCGGCTCTGTCAAATGACTGAAGAGAAAATAACTCGATTCAGCTTTAAGCGCATATTTGCATATTTTAGACTCATATTAATGATTCAAATAAGAGCTATTAAAGTGTTCATGCTGGGGAGTTTAGTTAGCTCAAAACCAATTATATACGCTGATTTACAGACGAGTCTTTCCCACTGTAAGTCAATAGGAAAAAGTATTTGCGGGCCAAAATGACGTCACTGAACGTGTAGTACCACCATTTGGCCAATAGGGCCATTCCAAAAAATGGCTTCAACGGACGGCGCACTTCCCGGGGGCTTGATTTGCACTCGTCTTTAAATACATGTTCTATCGTTAACCAGGTTTAAATTATACACTATTAGAAAAGGAATAAGCTACAGAAAAGCGAGCTGTGTTGTCGCGGCCTACCTACCACCATTAGCCAGATGCTGTTAGCAATGATACCGCTGGTTATCTTCATTGCCTTTCGCTGCTAACGCTAAAGTTCATGTTAAAAACAACAATAGCACCGACGGGTAAAAACAGCTACAAGCAACCTGTTTACCAGCCAATGTAAGCACCAAAAACAGCCAATGTAAAACAAGTACCTTGCTTCTTTTCGCCCATAAACTTCGCTTCGATGTACAGTCTATGATACGTAAAATCACTTATTTTCAAGCGTGAAAATCTGAGGCCATCGGCGTTCAATCATTTTCGTCTATGACAACAACATTATCTCCGCCCCCTACGAGGTGACGCTTTTCACTGATCTACATAGCATAGCATGGGTGTCCATTGCAGGCTTTAGACCCATCCAGCGTCTGTTAAATCGTATAGATATCCCCAGCCTGGAAACACAGCAGCTGCGTGATTGGCTGGCGGTTTCCAGTTGCCTTCATGGACGTCCGAATTTCTCCGTAGACCAGAAAATTAGCTTAAAACTGCGGGATTAAAACTACAAATGTGCCCCAAGCTATCAATATCACATAACGGTACAACACAATTCCGAATGTCCTAATCATATTGCATCATTTTGTGGACGGAATTGGCAGTACAATTCAATTAAGAGCAGACCAGCTATTGCTAGAGGCTTTTATTTTGACAACGGGACTATTACCCCGGAAAACACTGAATGTAGCACGAATCGTCGGTAGTAAGGTCCAAGCAGTAAACTTTGACACTCTTTTAAGAAATTCTTCCACAGTCCAAGCTCATATTCAGTATTGCATGAACGGCAGGGTGAGACAACGCTCTTAAACACATTTGCACATTAGTTCATTATTGTAGTCAACACTGAGTCAAAGTATACATTTAAACTGAGATTTACCTTTGTATATAAATAGCGATCATGTATTTTATCATTGCTTTCTCTTCACCTTGTTGTGTATTATTGATTTAAATGAGTGACAAAGTGGTTCCCAACTTAATTTGCTGTTACTTATATGTCAGCTACACTGCTGTCAAGAGTCCAGACGACCTCTACCCTAGATACCCAGTGTTCTCATAAAACAATATGTGTTACTATTCTCTATCCACAGGTGATGTTAAAGGTGTATTCAGGTGCCTTAGGACCAACCCTGTTTCTTGCCAAAGGAACATGTCTCAAAGTAGCCTTGCTGGAAAGGTAGCCATAGTTACTGCCTCCACAGATGGGTAAGAACTAGCTGTTTAACTCTTGTTTTGTCTGTACTGCAATAAAACATACTCAACAGTTAAGAAACTGACTTTGGCAATAGTTAACTGCTGTCCTGGTGAAGCAGTGGTACTGAAAGGATAATAAAAACATTCAAATTGATGTCAAATATCAATGGAGAAAGCCAAGCGAATAAAATTAATTAAAGATAAGATGCATCAAGCTTGTTTCCAAAATCATTGGGCTTTATGAGTTTCGGCCCCTGCTGGAATTGATCTCTAGCCTAAAAAAGACACGAAACGTTACAAATGTTTTTAATAAGCAGTCAAATTAGCATCATTATTTAACAGTTAGCATACTGATTAATCTGTTTGATAGAGGTATTATATCATGGCCAAAAGACCATTATTCTCTTACCCCTGTCTCCTCTTCAGAATTGGCCTAGCTGCAGCTCAGGCTCTGGGTAAGAGAGGAGCCCATGTGGTGGTGAGCAGCCGGAGACAGGCCAACGTGGACAAAGCCGTGGCCCTGCTGCAGAGCCAGAGCATCACAGTGACCGGGACCACCTGCAACGTCGGCAAGGAAGAAGACAGAGAAAAACTGGTTCAATTAGTGAGTATCTTTATAATTCTAATAACCATGCATATTAATAATTTTCAGAGATTTTCAGATTCAATCCAGTTCTTACCTCATTAACAGCCCTATTCTGTGTTTGGAACAGACTCTGGATCAGTGCGGTGGCATTGATATCCTGGTGTCCAACGCAGCAGTCAACCCTTTCTTTGGAAACATCATGGACTCCACTGAGGACGTCTGGGACAAGGTACACACATACAGAGAGGCCCATTTGTTCAAAGGATTTCAATTCAGAATATGTTATGGGAGCATTTCGTCGTTTCTTTCTAGATCCTGTCTGTAAATGTCACATCAGCCTTCCTCATGACTAAGTTGGTGGTGCCTCATATGACAAAGAGGGGGTGAGTAACGAACAAAACCGTGATCCGGACAAAAATACTATAAAAATGTATGTTTATTGACAAATGCTCTGTATTTTTATTTTTAGAGGAGGAAATGTAGTATTTGTGTCATCTGTGGCTGGATACCAACCAATGCAGGTCAGTGACAGTTATATAATACTAAAACACTGGTATGGAATATCTTTTTTAATTTCATACATATCCATGATAATACTGACATACCTTTACTTAAGTAAGGTTTTAAATGCAGGGCTAATAGTGGAGTATTTTTTACTAGTAATATTGATTACTTTTGTAAAAGGATGTGTACTCCCACCATTGATGAGCACAGAAATAGAACAAGCAAATATTCTAATAAGTAATTATATATTTTAATTCCAGTGTCGTGTTTTGTTGTCATTTTGTAAACGGTTGTGTTTGTATATGTTATGGACACTGTGTCTCTGCAGGCTCTGGGCCCCTACAGTGTGAGTAAGACGGCTCTGCTGGGTCTGACCCGGGCCCTGGCCCCTGAGCTGGCTCAAAGTAACATAAGAGTCAACTGCGTGGCCCCTGGAGTCATCAAAACGAAATTCAGCAGCGCGGTGAGGAGAAAAACATACATTTATCTTTGTATCACACTTATTTATAAGTCTCTATAATAACCAGAGATGGTAAAAGTACACACATCCTTTACTCAAGTAGAAGTACAGATATTCATGTTTAAAAATTCTCTGGTAAAAGTAGAAGTACTGACTAAACTTCTTTACTCAAGTAAAAGTAAAGAAGTATGGGCTTCGAAATGTACTTAAGTAAAAAGTCCCCATAACTAGCAGCTGTTTTAAAGAGTACCTGACCTCCCTTTATATTAAGAGAACAATAATGTCATTGTTAGCTAATGGATGTTTCCATGCTGAACAACGGCAACATGACAACGTTTCCATTGGTCCCTCTTCTTTAGAGAAGACCAGGAAATGATGGATACACGGATCGTGTTCAAATCAATTTGGGACGCAATGACTATAAATAATAATGATCACGCCACCAAACACACATTCAGACTAAAGTAACCAGCCTGTTTGGGAAATGTAAGAAGTAGAAAGTTCAGGTGTTTGTGTTCAAAATGTAAGAAGTAAAACTAAAAAGTTGTCAGAAAAATTAGTAGTGGTGTAAAGTACTGATACCAGAACAATTTACTTAAGTACAGTAATGAAGTATTTGTACTCCATTACTTTCCACCTCTGATAATAACATGACTGTTTTTGTGGCAGTTAACGGGGAACGAAGACATCATGGACGAGTTCAAAAAGCAGCTGAGCATTAAAAGGTATGCTCACATGGGAATGTATCACCAATATGCCAGACAATACACATGAGCAACATATTTAATATGTTCACGTTTATCTCCCTATAGAGTGGGAGAGCCAGAGGAGATCGGTGGAGTGATTGCCTTCTTGTGCTCGGAGGACGCGTCCTACATCACCGGAGAGACCATCACTGTGACCGGGGGGATAGGCTGTCGACTCTGAAGCTCTAGGGCCAATACAAGTGTGTGTGTATGTTTTGATTACATTTTGACTTGAAGTGCGGACGCAGCCAGAATAAAGCTTCATATACTATTCAAGCAAGACATGTCAAATTCCTTACTAATTATTGAAGATGTTAGGTTTTCTCTGTGATGATCGTGATATTCTGTGAATTTGAAGGATTCTTATGATAAATAATTTCATGTTAATTCAATAGGAAGTTCTTTCAGTGATCATGTCATGAACCAGTGCTTAAATTATAAAACGTTATACTTCTCTTTCATATCAAATGCAGCTTTAAATAGCTTTTTGTGAGAGATGCATCACTTACACATGTTTAAAACAGACAGTATGAGAAGTACACTGAACACTAGAAAAGGTGGAATTTATGAAATCTAAATAAAAAAATGATGAGCTTCGGTCCATAACAGAATGCTGCTTAATACACTATTGATAAACTCACTCGTGGAAACGTTTTTCAAACTGTTTCTTTATTACTTCCACACATCTCAAATTGCATTCCTTTGATTTGTTCCCATTATGTGTCAGCAGTTATTAACCAAGAACATATATTTTAAATATTAAAAAAATGAATAAATGTAATGGAGATGATCCAGATACAAACAAAACTGTACGGTAACAATTTCAAAAACGTTACAAAAGTGCCCATAATAAATCATCAAGGCTTGTATTCCATGATGACAAACCACTGATTCAAATTAAAATCTGACTCAGCTAGGGTGACGTCGTGAGCCAAGAGAAACAGATGTCTTAAATAAATGTCGTCAGCTTCAGTGGCTGGTGCATATAGATTTATTTTTGGCTTTTCGGTCGATGTGGCTGTAGGCAAAAAACCACATGACCACCAAACTTGGCCTCGATATTCCATTTCATCGTCTGTTTTTGCCGACAACAGAAGACAAGTCCCGCTGTGTCATCCCGGGCTTCCAGTACTCCCTCAGAGTGGGGACATATGTGCCGTGTTTGGTCTTGTAGTAGCGCTTTGTGAACAGCTGAGGGAGACAGGCTCAGTTAGAAAACACAGAGGAAGGAACCAACTTGATAGAAAGAGCAGCACAAGTGAGAGAAACATTTATTCCACCAGTATTTTCTTTTTCTTAAATAACTCACAGTCCCATCTCTTTTCGTTTACAGTCAGCGTCTTGTTTGGTTCACTTTGAAGGCTTAAAGTTAATGTCTTGAATGTGCGATCTGGTTTCGAAATTGCACATTTGAGTCATTACCAATGGATTTCTATTAACCTATAATTGTCCGAATGAATTTCAAAGCTAAATCTCTTTTCAAAAAAAGACTAAAATTGGACACATTGTAAGGATTCGTACTGCTCATTGAAACACTGTCTTTTAGTGGTTTAGGAAAACATACCCTGACTTTGAAATTCTTCGTTGCTTCGTCTTCAGAATCCGCGACATAGTCTTCAGTGTCTCCAGGACGGGCGGATGTACCTAAACAAAAAAAGGAAACAGTTAAACTCATGTTTTTTCCCCATTGTTGATCTTTGTTACTTTTAATAAAAAAATGTAAATCACCTGAGTTACTGCGTTGTTGAGAAGGAGAGCCGATTACACCGGGCAATACAGGGTGATTCCTGTTGGGTAGAAACAATATCATTAAACCATTTGGTATCAATTCAGTTTTAATAGCGGCTAAAAGGTAAATGGAGAAAGACAAAGTCATATTTCACATAGCTGCTTTGCTATTTAGAATTGTCTATTGGCAAGTAAATACATTTGAATGATAAATCTTTAAAATAATATAGAGCAATAAATATATATCCATATATAATAAAATCTGAGAGACAAATCGGATTAACTTCAAAAAATTGAACTCGTTTTTTTATGGTATTTGTAAAACAATGGTCTAAAGAATATCTATAGAACGTTTAAAAAAAAAAAAGGCTGCAAGTCAAATTCATAGTTAAATTGGTTTATTGTGCACAAAAGCGTACAGAAATAATATGAAATATTAAGTAGACAATATTACCATGTGTCATTAACATGATATCAGCATTGATTTTGTTCTAAAATATCACGGAATCTCAAATTTTGTCCAATATAAAAGTCAATTTAAAATATCTGGTTCTGCCACAGAGATCAATGAGGGCAAATAATTGCAAGTCTCTTCAGTGCGCATGTCACAAAACGAGATGCATTATGGAACATGAAGTTTATGAGCAACGTGCTTCTGTAAAGTGGCATGTAACCGTAAAATAATCTTTGCAAGCTCCCTGCTCTAGCCAATCAAACCGCTGCTTGTGGGTCAGGGGCGGGAGATTCATGTGATTGGTTGTTGGTCGAGTTTCAGACACGTATTGAAAAATGAGTCTGAACTTTTCGATCCGTTAACTGAGTTTTAAACATCCCTTGAAATGGAAGATCCCCATAGCCCCCACCCACCCTATGATCGGATCGACGATCGGCCGATTCTGACTCCGTTGATCGGCGATCGGCCTCATCGGAGCGTCCCTAACAAACACATTCATGATGAAAGGTTTTAAAAGGTATGATAAAACACAGATAACATAGTAAATGCTAGTTAACAAAATCCAGAACACATAATGGAATTGAACATTATTACTAATGTAGCTGCTGAATTTTCTACAATACAAACTTGACATAATACTAAACGGTTCTGAATGTGGACGTCTCTTACTCTTTATCGCCCAGGCCGGGACGCTTCGAGCCAGGCTTCTGAGTTTGGTTGAGTTTGCGTGTTGGAGTTTTAACCGGGGACGTCCTCCTCTGGTTCTGCTGCTTCACAGGCGAGGATTTAGTCCTGTTGGGGCTCGCAGGAGTCACCGACAGCTTGTGTAAAGTAACTTTGGGTTGGCTCCTCAGACAAGATTCAAAATGGGAGCAGAGGGAAGGGTCTTCAGGCAGCTTTTTGACACCCAGCTGCATCATACAGGTCTTAAGAGCTGCCCTGTCATCTACTCTCTCACTTGTCTTGTTGCTGATCCTCTTTTTCCCAGATATAGTCATGCCTAATACTTCCTCCTCCTCCTCCTCCTCCTCCTCCTCATCGGAATCACTTTCCATCATGTCAGGTTCCTTGCGTTTCATTCCGTTGCTTTCCTTCCTCTCCTCTTCCACTTGTTCTTCACCTTCGATCGTTCCATCGTCCTTGAGTTTCGGTTTAATCGCAGTGAAGTTCTCTTTTGGGTTCCAGTGCTCGTTGGTTGCGTCCTTTGCTTGCTCTTCCCCTCTCTGTGTCCTGATCATAAATGGTACAACTTCATTAGATACGAGTCCGATAACAGGTTTAAAATGTGAAATATTAAGTAGACAATATTACCATGTGTGTCATTAACATGATATCAGTATTGATTTTGTTCTAAAATATCACGGAATCTCGCATTTTGTCCAATATAAAAGTCAATTTGAAATATCTGGTTCTGCCACAGAGATCAATGATGTGTTTTTATGACAAACACTAGGGATGCTCCGATCGATCGGCCGATATTCACTCTCAATAGTGTGATCGGGGCACTCTATAAATGCCGATAAGGAGAGCCGATCACATGACGCAAAATACATGACACTTTTCTCTGTGCGTGGAAAAACTAGCTCGCCACGCCCGCCGGCAAGCTTCAACGCACGCCGCTGTGTGGACGGGCCATAAGAGTTAGACCTAACACACTTAGCTATTTTATCTACCTCTGGAACAAGCTAAACTAGTTATACATATATTTATTCTTCACTGTCGGGTCGCTCATTACTGGATCAGCGAGCTGCATGAGACGATACTGACAGGCTGTCAGGAGAGAGAGGGAGAGAGAGAGAGGGAGAGGGAGAGAGGAAAAGAGCGCTTCCGTTCATTTCTCCCGTGTTATTATCCAAAATTAATGTAAACTTGAATAATGTACTTCATTTGAATGTAATAATTATGTTGGCTGTTGTTTGTGGAAGCGCATCATGTATTGAAAAATGTGTCTGAACTTTTTGAAGCGTTAACTAAGTTTTAAACATCACTTGAAATGTTTATGTTTATTAAGGATCCCAATTAGCTTTTGCTCTTGACAAAAGCTACTCTTCCTGGGGTCCGACACTCAAATGAAATGGAAGATCCCCATAGCCCCCAGCCACCCTATGATCGGTATCGGCCGATTCTGACTCCGGTGATCGGCCTCATCGGAGCGTCCCTAACAAACACATTCATGATTAAACGTTTTAAAAAGGTACGATAAAACACAGATAACATAGTAAATGCTAGTTGAACAAAATCCAGAACACTTACAGTGGGGCAAAAAAGTATTTAGTCAGCCACCAATTGTGCAAGTTTTCCCACTTAAAAAGATGAGAGAGGCCTGTAATTGTCATCCTAGGTACACTTCAACTATGAGACAGAATGGGGGGAAAGAATCCAGGAAATCACATTGTAGGATTTTAAATGAATGAATTGGTAAATTCCTCGGTAAAATAAGTATTTGGTCACCTACAAACAAACAAGATGTCTGGCTCTCACAGACCTGTAACTTCTTCTTTAAGAGCCTCCTCTGTCCTCCACTTGTTAACTGTATTGATGGCACCTGTTTGAACTCGTTATCAGTATAAAAGACACCTGTTCACAACCTCAAACAGTCACACTCCAAACTCCACTATGGCCAAGACCAAAGAGCTGTCAGAGGACACCAGAAACAAAATTGTAGACCTGCACCAGGCTGGGAAGACTGAATCTGCAATAGGTAAGCAGCTTGGTGTGAAGAAATCAACTGTGGGAGCAATTATTAGAAAATGGAAGACATACAAGACCACTGATAATCTCCCTTGATCTGGGGCTCCACGCAAGATCTCACCCCGTGGGGTCAAAATGATCACAAGAAGAGACGGTTAGCAAAAATCCCAGAACCACACGGGGGGACCTAGTCAATGACCTGCAGAGAGCTGGGACCAAAGTAACAAAGGCTACCATCAGTAACACACTACGCCGCCAGGGACTCAAATCCTGCAGTGCCAGACGTGTCCCCCAGCTTAAGCCAGTACATGTCCAGGCCCGTCTGAAGTTTGCTAGAGAGCATTTAGATGATCCAGAAGAGGATTGGGAGAATGTCATATGGTCAGATGAAACCAAAATAGAACTTTTTGGTAAAAACTCAACTAGACGTGTTTGGAGGAGAAAGAATGCTGAGTTGCATCCAAAGAACACCATTCCTACTGTGAAACATGGGGGTGGAAACATCATGCTTTGAGGCTGTTTCTCTGCAAAGGGACCAGGACGACTGATCCGTGTTAAGGAAAGAATGAATGGGGCCATGTATCGTGAGATTTTGAGTGACAACCTCCTTCCATCAGCAAGGGCATTGAAGATGAAACGTGGCTGGGTCTTTCAGCATGACAATGATCCCAAACACACCGCCCGGCAGGCTTGGAATTTCGTCATTTTAGGGGCAAGGCCATTTGGCCTTCCCGTTCACATTTTTTAGGGCACAAATGCCACATGACAGGGCACAAAGGCCATTTGGTTAAATTACGCTGGTCAATCAACATGACTGTAAAGTGTAGCACTAACGTCAACACCAGTCGTTTTACAAATGGCTGAATAGCAATAGTGTTTCTTAAACGTATACGTTAAGTTCAGCCATAAACCACATAAGTCAGTCATGTATTATATCAAAACCGCTTAGCAAGAAAAATACTAGATTCAAAGGTGACAGCTATCTGCTAGCTTGTAGAAGCAACACTAGATGTAGACCCCTTGAAGGGAAGACGTTAGCGCTATCCAAACTAGCTAGCTATCGCTAGTTTTCATGACAAAATGTAACGAGTCGACTTTAAATAGGCTAATACAATGGTAATTACCTATCAATAGTACTTTCTATAAACACGTAAATGTTAAGTCCTTTCAAATACTACCACATACTTCAGTTAAATCATATCAAAACAGCTTGGTCCGCTTGCTTACCTGTGCTTGTCTTGCTCCCGCGGCTGAGGAGCAGGCTGTCGGGCCCCTACAGGCATTTCTGACGGAACAATCACAGCAGAGCAATCGCTCTGATTCCACAGGCACGGGACTATCCTACTGCTCGCACTAGTATGACTTCACTAGCGTTGTTTACACTGGAACTTTTGACAGGGGCACAAAGGCCACTTTGGCCGTGAATTGCATTTTTTTTCACAGGGCATCACGGCCAAAGTGCGGGGCAACGACGGCCATGGCCGTCGTGAAATTCCCACCCTGCCGCCCGGGCAACGAAGGAGTGGCTTCGTAAGAAGCATTTCAAGGTCCTGGAGTGGCCTAGCCAGTCTCCAGATCTCAACCCCATAGAAAATCTTTGGAGGGAGTTGAAAGTCTGTGTTGCCCAGCGACAGCCCCAACACATCACTGCTCTAGAGGAGATCTGCATGGAGGAATGGGCCAAAATACCAGCAACAGTGAGTGAAAACCTTGTGAAGACTTACAGAAAACGTTTGACCTCTGTCATTGCCAACAAAGGGTATATAACAAAGTATTGAGATGAACTTTTGTTATTGACCAAATACTTATTTTCCACCATCATTTGCAAATAAATTCTTTAAAAATCAGACAATGTGATTTTCTGGATTTTTTTTTCTTATTCTGTCTCTCATAGTTGAAGTGTACCTAGGATGAAAATTACAGGCCTCTCATCTTTTTAAGTGGGAGAACTTGCACAATTGGTGGCTGACTAAATACTTTTTTGCCCCACTGTAATGGAATTGAACATTATTACTAATGTAGCTGCTGAATTTTCTACAATACAAACTTGACATAATACTAAATGGTTCTGAATGTGGACGTCTCTTACTCTTTATCGCCCAGGCCGGGACGCTTCGAGCCAGGCTTCTGAGTTTGGTTGAGTTTGCGTGTTGGAGTTTTAACTGGGGACGTCCTCCTCTGGTTCTGCTGCTTCACAGGTGAGGATTTAGTCCTGTTGGGACTCGCAAGAGTCACCGACAGCTTGTGTAAAGTAACTTTGGGTTGGCTCCTCAGACAAGAGACAAAAAGGGAGCAGAGGGAAGGGTCTTCAGGCAGCTTTTTGACGCCCAGCTGCATCATACAGGTCTTAAGAGCTGCCCTGTCATCTACTCTCTCACTTGTCTTGTTGCTGATCCTCTTTTCCCCAGATATAGTCATGCCTAATACTTCCTCCTCCTCCTCCTCATCATCGGAATCACTTTCCGTCATGTCAGGTTGCTTGCGTTTCATTCCGTTCCAGTGCTCGTTGGTTGCGTCCTTTGCTTGCTCTTCCCCTCTCTGTGTCCTGATCATAAATGGGACATCTTCATTAGATATGAGTCCGATAACAGGTTTAATGAATGGGGTTTTGTCTCTTGTCTGTGTGTTGGAAGACTGGTAAAAAGAGTTAGTGGCTCCTGTTGGAGGATCTGAAGGCACTTTTCCAGAGGGGGGCAGGGAGAGGGAAGTCAGGATGGAGTCTCCCATGTTTGGAGGGAGGGATGCTGTGAAAAAAAACATGGAGATTAATAAGGAAGTTCACCGTCCTATCTAGTAGGGCTGTATAGACAGGGGTGCACATAACTTTCTCAGTGAGGTACTCAGATGAGTATGGGGGGGGCTAATGGAGTACTTCGTGACCACAGAGTGTGAACGTTGTGATCAGCTGTTTTAGCGCAGTTCTCCAGTGAAGGGGGGGAGTCTCCCTCCGCAGCCGGTTGGCGTAGTTTTGGCACAATTCCGTTGTACAGACCGACGTTAACAGCAGCCCTGTCTGTGCACACGGAGACCGACTCTGTCGTCCGGTGATCTAACCGCCTTCCGGAAAAGCTTCACAAGTACGTCGGTACGCAAATGCGCTTTGTGACACAAGTGACGGTACGCATTTCAGATTGTTGCCGTGCATGCGTACCAGTTATGTGCACCCCTGTGTATAGAATAGCTTTAAGCTTCATTCTTGTATGATTTCAACATTCCCAATAACTCCAGAGCATTGTCGACATTTGTAGAAAAAAAATGGATGTAATTATTTTCAAAATTCACATCATGTTTTTATCTGAAGAAATACACCGCTTCAAGATTTGTGTGATGAATTATGGAGGTCCATAAGTGTAAATACATTTTTAAAATGCATTAATTAATTAATTAATTAAGAAGTAAATAAATACAGGAATAATAAAATAAATGCTAAAATATAATACAGAAATACATGCTGTTAAAGGTGGGGTAGTTAATTTTTAGAAAACGGCTCGAGATACACTTTTTGTTATATTCCATGGAATGCTCTTAACATCCCGATAGCAATGAATATCTGAAGTGCTTTGACCAAAAATCCATAAAAGTTATTTGTGGAAGTCGTAGTGCTGTAAAAAGCATGACCAATCATTATAGCCGGCTTCCATCTGTGCACAAACTTATCTCGTGCTCTCATTGGTCATGTGCGCGTGCGTGTGTGTTGGAGGAGGGGCTCTGTAAGGAAGTGGCAGATTTGTTCCGGCTTTGTATTTTCAAATTCGAGCTGGTTTCTCCAAAATGACCCCACCTTTAAATAACTAAATAAAATAATTAATTAATAGTGAAAACCTTGTTTTTCTTTATTTGTTAGGGCAGGATTATGTCATCAATTATAACAACAAACAACATAAGCAGCTCGATTTCCAAAACGAGATTATGGATTCCAATGTAAATGTGATACATTTGAAAATATGGCATTACCCCAAATCCTAGCTATACATGTTAGCTGGCCTGAGTGATGATGAGGATGTACCTGCAGTCTCCAGGTGGCCCAGACAGGTCTGATGCTGGAGCAGTGTCTGCAGCAGCTGGGGTTGGCTGGCCGCCCGCGCACACGCCTCCAGGACGGAGGAGGTCTCACTGAGCCACGACACAGTCTGGAGACAAATGACATACAACTTGTATTCATGTACCTGTGTTATTCATGATTTATTATCTTTGCTTTTTAATGTTTCTAATGTGTTTTATGCTCTTAATGTCTTTCATTTTTGAGACTTTGAATTGCCTTGTGTTGAAAAGTGCTGTATAAATAAACTTGCCTTGCCTTACATACAAAGCATTTCTTTGAAAAGTACTTTACTTTGAATCACAATATGTTAGCAGGCATTTATAAATGATCACTAGTAAAAAAAAAAAAAAAAAAAGAAGACCCTCCGTCCTCGTACACTTTTTGTATCTACTGCAAATCAAATGTGATTTTTTCAAATGTACTGATAAAGAGAAATACAATAGATTGAATGTGTGATGGAAAAGGGCAAGGTTTTCCCAGAAGCACCCACTACCTGAGCAAGGTTGGGAACTGGGAGGAACTGGTCCAGTCGGATCAGAAACTCCCACAGCAGCTTCTCCAGCTCCTGGTCAAAGTTGGGACCATAATCCACAGGAAACTCCTCCTGATAGAAGACAGAATAAGATGTGTCGGCTGTGACACAATCCTACAGACATCAATGCAGATACAAAATGTGTGAAGGGGCTCACCTTGAAGAAATGTGTCCTCCTTGTTGTGTCTGTTAGCAGCAAGTGAACCAATGATTTGAAACCTTCCACTGTATTCATGATTTTTAAATCCCTCTTCTAGGAGACAAAATAGAAACAAAATTAAACTTTTTCCATCCTTAAGTCTTAAAATAATATATTGAGGCAACACTACAGTCCGAGATTGTGTAACGTTTAATTCTGCAAATACCTCCAATATTAACTGTTGTAATTGTAATGCAGCATGAGGCCATTTTTCTTCAGTATAAAACCGGCAAACAGTTTACAGTGACAAAAATGGCAATGCAATTTGTAGTGAGAGTCTAGATATCAAATGTAATGTATCCTTCTGCTAACACACAAAGCTCTCAATAACCAGGCTCCCCCCTACCTCTCCGACCTGATCCACCACTACACCCCTTCCCGCAGCTCATCAGAAGCGAACCTCCTCTCTATCCCCAAGAAAACCAAGCTCCGAACCTGGGGGGATAGAGCCTTCTCCATCGCTGCCCCCACCCTCTGGAACTCCCTCCCACAACACATCAGAGACTGCACTGACCCCCCCACTTTCAAAACACTGACCAAAACACACCTCTTCAGACTGGCTTTTAATCTGTGAATTATGCTGTATTGCTGTTTTAATAACTTTTAAGTGTTATTTTATCTTGTTTTAATAACTTTTAAATTCTATTTTATCATGTTTTATCACCACTGTAAAGCGTCTTTGAGCACCTGGAAAAGCGCTTTGAAATGCAATATATTATTATTATTATTTTGTAATTTACTTTAGTAGTTGCAGAGGAGGTTGACACAGCAGCAGGAGCACGGATCCTTTCCAGATGTGACATTATCTCCTTTTTATCCGGCTGTGTAGAGCAGAGCTCCATGATCAACTGAAAATAAATTGATAAACCGTACATTCAGACCAGGAAACGGATCATTCAAAATACTTGGCAATGATGTGTCAAAATAGAGAATATTATAGTCAGATAGATAGGAAAGAAGAATGAAAGAGGCATCAGATTCTCACCCGTGCTCTCAGCCCCAGTGCCAGCTTGCCCTGGTGTCTCACAGTGAGCAGCCCGGGGACAGTATCACATAGTGAGGTCACAAATTCCTCCACAACCCCATAGTGCATCACATCCCTCTGCTCCATCACCTTCCACATGGCTGCAGACACCAGGCGCACAGGCGGGGCCAGGAGCTGGAGTGCAGCTAAAGGGAGGGTGGCATCTGTGCAAGAGACAAAAGAAAAGAGACAACAATCATTGCAACTCAGGCAGGGTTGAGAATGTGTCTGTCTCTATAGATTGCAGATTCCAATGTTACAGTACTGGCTATAACCCAGGTGATGGTAATGCAGGGGTCCCACATCATCTGTCAAATTGTCACCTTCCACTGCCACTACAATATTGACAGTTTCACATTTATTTGAATTATTATTCCATGTATTAACACTTACCATTTTCCTTAGTTTTTCTTTCAGTCATACTGCTGAATTTGCAAGCTAGCTTAAGCTAATGAGGTGGACGTCTATTAACTAGCTTAGCAACTTTGACACATTACTCCCCAATTCCGCTTCAAAGCTGCCGCTAAAATAACAGTTTACCCGAGGAACGTTAAACAGGAAATACTATAAGAATGTTGTTTCCTAACTCCTGCAGTTATCTGTCGTTAACGTTACGCCTCGGTAGTCCTGTTGTTTTTGTTTACCCGCTCAAACAGCTAGCAACACTTCTCTAAAGTTCTGCTTCTCATCCTCCCGCCTTCGCCGCAACAATATATAGGGTTTCAAATGCTCACCAGGGTGCGCCGGATTGGCGGTGCTTAGTGCATTTTTAATTAAAGACATTGGTTCGAACAGGAAACTCCGTCCGCGCGCAAACTGTAATGTATAAAACAAGCGCACACCCTGATTTTACAGGATATGACGTAGCAGTTCCGACAGCAGTTGCTACCATCTGTTTATTAAATGTTTAATAATAGTTAAACATAGTTTAAAACTGTGCGGAGAAATAGTGTTAAGACTGTCAATGTATTTTAATGAGCCTATGAACACAGAATGATGGTACTATAAAAAACAAACAAAAATGTGTATAAATATATATATTAGGAATTAGCGTTGGAAAATAGATTGATTGGACATGTATATCAGCTAATATAAGCAGCTATACAATTAAAAACATGACTATCAGATGTTTAAAACTGAACAAACAGTATTGGCTTCAACTAAAATGATCCAGTATCAGTTATTATCTAAAGAGGTAATACCTTTGCTAGTTGAAAACATTTCTCTCACACACAAACACACAGAGGCAACATGAACTTTGCCTTTTACTGTCCTGTATCTGAGTTATCACCATGTTAAGGACAAAGTCCAGCTGCTGGGTCAAACACAAGCTGACATTATCACCATTTGCTACACCAAAACAGCTTACGAAATAATACGTCCAGGAGAAGAGACAACAAGAAACTGAGAAACATGGATACAACCTCTTCATTTATCAAGTGAGTGAAACATTACTTTTGGCCTGTTGATATTGTATTGATTGGTTCACGAGCCTTCGCTTGACTAAAAATCTAAATATCATTATGTTGCTGTTGGACTCATTATTGTAGGCTAGGCTTAAGTAGACTGACTGATTAGAGTAATAAAGTTGATGATTTGTCATTTTAAGATATGTTTTAATGTGAAATTTGACATTTAGCTTCATTATCATAAGAGTTGTCCTCTTTTTATAAAGATTGTTATACGTAAAAGTGTGAAAAACGCACATGTAAATAATAAAACTATTGATTGTTTAATGTCATTTTGGCTTTCTTCAACACTGGCTTTAATGACAAGTCGAAATGTCTGTTGTGAAATCCAACAAAGTAAAACAGTTAATGACCGTTTCACCTGTTTTTTACTCAGATCTGTGACCAAGCGAGTGTGGTCCCCACCTCAGCGTCCCTTCAGAGTATGTTGTCACAACAGGGAGACCAGGAAGGGCATCACAGCCGGGACCCTGGAGGAACTCAAAGAGAGGGTGAGAGCCGCTGGAAAACATAAATAATGGAAGGAAATAAAAGAAAAGACTCTGGGCTTACAGTAAATGGGATATTATAAAAGTGTCAGCTAAATGCAATGTAATGTAATGTAATTATAAATATATAAAATAACAAAAATTAGAAGAAAAACATTAAAAAGTCTGATAAAAGGCAGTGCTAAACATTGGTAGAAACAAAAAAGGATAACGTTGAGAAAATATATTTAAAAAAGAGATCAGTTCTCTTAGAATGAAGTTCAAACCTTTATAATTTGTCCACTTAAAATGTCAGCAATCAACAATTGAATGGTTATCTCATCTAAAATCTTTGATGATGTCAAATATGTCATCACATGTGAGTCAAGGCTGCACTAAAGTGGTGTGAAGATAAGATTTCTGACGTGTAGATAAGGGCCAGACCGCATTTTCTGATAACATTTAAGTATTAATTATATGTTTAGCTGCTGGCTAATTGAAAGTGGCTCCAATTAGAGTTGAAAGGTCACAGGAAATGGTTTCCATCTGACTACAAATAACTTCATATATGACAATAAATTATGTTCTGGAGTCCAGCTAATTAATGTAACAGTCAATACAAAAGGAAGTATACAATATTTGTTTCTAGTGCACACTCATACAGCTTGAATCTGTGCTGCAGGTCTGCCAGGCCCTGCTGCTGTCCCTGCCCACAGTGTCTCTGTCTCTGACATGTGAAGAGGACGGCACTGAGGTGGACTCCGACGAGTTCCTCATGACCCTGCCCGACAACACTATGCTCATAGCCCTGGAGCCTGGAATGACATGGAGACCACAACCGGTATGTTTGAGGAGATAACCCAAATGTTATTTATTATAAACCTTCATCTATACTTTTATGAGTCTTTTTTAATATATGTGCTCTGATCCCCCCCCCCCCCCCCCCAGGGTGCAGTTGTGCCCAAATCTCAAGACCACAACAAGCCCCGGACTGGGAGAGACATAGCTCGTGTGACCTTTGACCTGTACAGGATAAGCCCAAAGGATGTTTTTGGCTCTCTGAATGTGAACGCCACTTTCCAAGGCCTGTATTCTGTGAGCGCTAACTTTGAGTGTCTGGGGCCCAAGAAAATCATCAGGTAACTAGCCATGCAGAATAAAACACCACAGTGACTGACTGCAGCTCTGAAATGTAGAGGAATAGCAGTCTTAAGTAGCAACAAAACGAAATAATTGTACTTGAATTCCCATCTATGCGTTCCATACTTGTCAATCTGACATTATTTTTCTACCTCGCAATAATATATGAAAAATACTTTGACAATCTGCTCGAATGAGAAGTTAAAGAGCATTAAATCGAGTGCAATGTCAGTGAAGCACAACCATACTGACAACTTGATCTTGTTTTTCAGAGAAGCCCTGCGTGTGGCCTCCACCCTCCTACACACCGCTGGACGCCTGCTTATCACTACCGCCTCCATGATCCGTCGCATTATCGAAGGCGCAGAGTTCTGGCAGCCACAGAGGACAGAGTACAAAGCCAGCTGGAACTGACCTGCTTAGACGTATCATAGAGCAACTTGGACTGATCACATTGTTGATCTTCAACGCGTAAAGACCTGTAGTAACAACAGAGGAAGCTTTTTGAATGTAGCTGGATAACATGACAATAACTGTCATCTGTTTTTCTATTGTTTGTGCAATATATTTCACATCATATTCTAGAATTGTTTTTGGTAATTATTTTTCTATTTGCTTTGAGATTACAGCCGCTGTTCACTGATCATTTTGTCAGTTTATGAGTGTTTCGATGTAAATAATGACAAGAAGAGTCATGTTCAAACAACATAAACTGTTTTACTTGAATGACAATAAAAACGTCTGCACAGTACAAATGGAAATCGTTGATGTGAAAACAGCATCTACGTTGCAAATTAGAAAAGACTGTACATACATCATAACCGCAAACAGGTCAAGTAATAACAATAACAGAGATACATTCCATGTGAAAGAGGAGGCAAATGCATGTGAACAAATGTCTTTCAAAAGCACAAAATCAAAGTGAACAAACTTCTTCTGATGCCTCCTTTAAAACGTGAACAGAGGATTCAATGACTTCCCATTGAGGGGTTATTCGGTGCACAGGATTTGCCCTCCTTCTTCCGCAGTGCTCTCAGGCTCTGTCGGTACCTGACGTTGGCGACGGCCTGGCCGTATTGCTCGCTAGTCATCCAGTGCGGCCTGAATGTCTTGATATAATAGCGCATGTCTCCGTACCACTGAACCAACCTGTGGCGCGGCATTCCAACCACCTCACCCAGCCTGTTGTATGCCGCAACGTCTGGATACTGGCATTCCGTGAAAGCCTCCTTCATCCTCGACAACTGAAACTTCGTCTTTATTTTGGTTACCACACAAGTGGGAAGTGACCTTTTATTTTTATAGTTGCCGCCCTTGGTGATTGTTGACTCTGTTTGCGTCTGCGTTTCTGATTTCTCCCCACAGTGACTTTTCTCAGGGGTCTTTCCGTTATTAGAGGTAGAAGGAGGAGTGTCGTCATTTTTTCCCAGCACTTCTGTCTGGTTGTCAGTGAGAGGAGGCATGTTGGGGGCCTGAGTTTGAACCAAAGGGATGAGCAGGGGCATTGCATCCTGTGTCTCATTGGGTACCCCACTTTCAGGGACAGACGTTTTTACTTTTGGCATCCTCTTCCTTCTGGTAAAAAGCGTTATCTCCGACTGAGTGGACTTCTGACACTCACTTCCTATGTTTGCTTCTTTTGCCCTCTCCACAATATTCTCCTCCGCTTGCTTTGTTTTTTTAATTCCCACCTCGTATGTCACCGTCGTCCTTTTCCGCTTCCTCTGAGTATTCCTTTTCTTTTCTTTTACATCCTTGTCTTTCTTCATTAGCTGCTCCTGCCTCATTCTTCTCTCCAATAGTTCATCAGCCTCCACATTTTCCCCACTTCTCCTTCCCTCACTTGCACCCTGTTCCTCCCTAACCTCTCCTGCCTTCTTCCCATCAGGTGTTTTACATTTCTTATTCTTGTCTCCATCCTCTTTCTGTTCCCCCTTCCTGGTTTGCAGCTCTGCCTCCCCCCAAATCAACTTGAACTGCCTCCGAACCTTCCTGATGTCTTTAAATTCCCAGCTGACGCCATAGCGGAGCCTCTGTATCATGAACCACACCTTCACCTGGTCTGGGTGCAAGGAGCAGCGCTGTGCCAGTGTAGCTGTCTGTTTCTCCGTCAGGTATGGAAACTGGTCGAAGGCCTTGTTCAGCTCTTCTGCACCATCCAGCTGTAGGTTGAACTCATTTGAGTGCACCCATATAAGCTGATCGTCAGAGACCACAGGGAGACACAACGCATGGCTCTGGTTCAGATTGAAAGCCATCATGTCAACGTTTGGTTCTGATAAATTCTCCTCAGGAACGCTGGTTGTCTTTTGTATGAGCACGGAACCTCCAGACATTTTCTGCCTCATCTTTCACATCTGTGGGGATGCAGGACTGTAGAGTAGATAAACAAAAATGGTTGATGGTTGATAAAAAGAATATGTAATTGATTTATACAGTACATTTCCTGAAGACACTTTTATCGTTTTGCTAGTTATAAAAAGGAAGATTTTTTTTGGTCTAAAATCTGAAACCAAAAACACAATAGTGGAGAAAATAAAGTGAAACATTCCCTCAGTGAAAGTAAAAAGGGACTTTAAACGTTAGTGATAGAAATACAGTGCAAGTAAGATAATGTTACCTTATAGTTTAACTTAATGGATATGTTATTGAATTATGGCGGAAGGTGGAAGAAGTACACAGATCTTATACTTAAGTAAAAGTTCTAATACCAGTCTAAAAATACTTTGTTACAAATAAAAGTCCTGCATCTAAAAGTACTCATTATCCAAAGTGGCCTTTTTTCGGGAAATAGATATTATATCACTGCTTATAATACTATAGTAATGCATTATGTGGCTATCATGTGCAGCTGTTAAAGGATCACATAACATTAATAACTTGTTATACTGCCCGTTATTTCCATCCCTGATAGAACATCAAAGTGTATTATTTGATTTCATGTTCGTAAAAATAACATAAAAATGCAAAAGCAAATAGTAACTAATGTTGTCAAAAAATGTTGTGAGTACAATATTTGCTGCCAAAATGTAGAAGTAGAAGTAAAAACTAGCATAACATGAAAATACTCAAGTACAAGTAGCCTACCTCTAAATATACTTAAGTAAAATTAAGTAGGCCTACTTTAGTAAATGTACTTAAGTAATATATTTCAGTAAATGTTCTTCATTACCACCTCATTGGCCAGATAACACCAACATGAATAACGTTAACAGGGGTGTATATTTAAACTTATTTGTGGTAACAATTCATATTAACTAGTTAGCTAACTTTAGCTAGCTAGCTAGCTACGTTTGCTCTTGAAGTAATTTCTTCCGATTCAAGTTAGGTTAACTGTATCCACGGTAACATGTACAGTAATGTTATAGCCGTTAACTTTGACCGTTTGTTGAGCAGTAACGATACCAATAATTTGAATAAATATCAATTGAACATTGGCTAGCGTAGCTTTTGGTTTAGCTGTTGACGTTGTTTTGTTTACATCCCCACGTTTGTGATACAGTTAACATAGGTAGCCTACTTTTTATTTTCCTATAAGTAATCAATATACTTGGCAGCTTCAAGAATACACCGATATTAGATCACTTATTTCAATTATGATTATGATTGGTTTTGAGTCCTTACCTTTCAGCGTACTTACTTAAGTGGAGAGATGGCCTGTTAAGTATGACAGGTTTTCTGGATTGGTCAATTAAAACCGCCCCATCCAGTTACACTTAAAGTTCATTCTTCAAGGGTTTATCTATTAAATTGGGTGTATGATAATATATTATAAACAGTAGTGTAGTATACATGTAGGCCTACTCAAGTAGTCTACTGTACACATTGAGGTACTTGTACTTTAATCGAGTATTTTCAAGTTATGCTAGTTTAATACTTACATTTATTTGACATATTTAGTCAAGTTACTTTGCAGATTTAGGTTATGAATACACATTATAAATCAACAAATATTATATTATACAGTATTATTACAGGTTAAGCTATCCAGTAGTCATTCAAATAAACCCCACCGTTACCAAGTGCAACATTAAAGTGACAAACAGATAAATCTGTATAGTGCAATATGACAGCCCTGAAATAAATCCAATGAAGTTTGGTTGATTTTTTGTTCAAAAATGTTCAGAAGATGACTTTAATCCAACTGTATGGTTATTTTGAGACTATAGTCATATTAGCTCTACCATGACTAATATGGATCAAGTTTAATATTAGAAACAGAGCAGGATTCATTTCACTACATTAGCTTAAGCTGGGTGTATGTGGTGAGTGGGTGTAGATTATTTCTGTAGGTCATTATTAATCGTTTTTGACTGATAAGGAAAGGAAATGTAAGCCTTTTTATGGTTAAAAGGGCATAGACACTATCTTACGGCTATAAAAAAGTCATTTATGTGCACACTAAACGTCAGTTTCTATTCCAGTGAAAGAGGCTCAAGCTGTCACACCAGACTCTGCGATACCGGCAAGCAAATATTTTGTTTACAAGGGCAACCTGTTTTTGTTAATCCACATTAAACAACGAAGGCATTCTGAAAACATGTCTGACAATCTACTAAAGAATCAAAAAGTTATCCTCTGCGACATGTGCACAGAGGACAGGAAACCGGAACGGAAGAGCTGCATGAAATGTGAGATCTCCATGTATGTCCAGCATCTCCAGACCCACCTGACCTCTCCTGTGTTACTGCAAACACATCCTCTGACTGAACCACTGGCCTTGGGGCTTGCAGGCTTAAGCACTACTAAATGCCCCCAACATGGCAAATTGCTGGAGTACTACTGCTTGGATGACTTTACCTGTGTGTGTGTTTCCTGCACCATTGAAGACCAGCACCGCCTTCACAACATGAAGACCTTCTCCACGGCACACAAAGAGCTCATGGAGAAGCTCAACGCAGAGCAGCAGGCATCACTGGTGAAAACTAATGAGGATTATGTGAATCTGGGAAAGTGGGAGAAGAGTGAAAGAGAGAAGCTTGGTCGCTCCTGTCTGCGTCTCGTTGAAGCTGTGACCAGCCTGCGTGATATCGCTCTGACCAGCGTCCAGAGTTCAGTCTCTGCCCGTATGGTGGCCATCAAAACCAGCAAGAGCAGAATGCTGGCAGCACAGAAGGAGAAGGACACCTTCAGATTCCTGCAGATGTATTCTCAGGTGCATCAGGATTTGGAGAAGGCCAAGGCTGTGGACCTGAGAAAAGGGTTGGAGCCTGGCAGTGACCGAGACAAACTGGTTCGGGAGATAAGAGAGAATGGGGAAGAAATTGTGAAGCAAGCCGGCCACTTCTGGGGATCCTTGTTGACCCTGGTTGAGAACCCTCAGGAGTTCATTGCTACTAATTCTGACCTGATATTTGACCAAAAGACTGCAGGCCCTGGCATGTCTCTGTCCGAAGACAAAAAGAAGGTTTTCTACAGTAATTGGCTAGGAGGAAGCTCTGCCTGCATGTTTCCCATTCAGGGGATACAGTCTGGTCATAGCTTTGAGGGATGGGTGACCAGCCTTTCGAAACACTGTGACTGGACCATTGGTTTATGTGACACAAATTATGCAAAGGAGTTGAGAGATGGAGAAGTCTATGCACTGTGCTGCAAAGGTAACCAGCTCAGCTTTCTCACAACACAGTATAGTGAGCATATGACTGCATTAGGCCTAAGACATACGCATATGAATATGAGGAGGAGGACTGAGAACGTGCTCTGTGTTTTCAGTCAAGCCATTGACCCTTCAGGTAACAATATAACAAACCCATTGGCCCGGCCGCAAAAAGTGGAAGTGGTGTTTAGCTTTCTTGACTTAACGTTCTTCAGCGTCAGCCAGTATCAGAGAAGGAAAATAGTCACAATAACGATGAGTCATGAAAGCTGGCGCCTAACCCCTTTTGTTTGCTTGGAAGTAGAAGAATCACAAAAGGTCTTAAAACATTTAAGAACAAGCACACGTGCGGCAGGTTATCTTGCACCTCGGCAACACAGCCAAAAGCAATGGAGATGCTCACGTGGGAGGCTTTACAATGAGACCGGTGATGCATACAATTATGACGGGAACATTTACCAAAAGTCTTCCAAGGCCACATGTGTTTGTAGAGAAGTTATTGGTCCCCCGCACATCACAGAGATGCTTTGTGAACTTCTGTAATGGTCATCCATGTTGTAGTCTGTAGCCCACATCATAACATTTCCGTATTAATGATGTGCAATTACATTTCCAGCTATCTTTTCCAGATTGTAATTTCACTGTTTGTTTCATTTGATCAATGTGAACATCAGTGGTGAGTGATACGCTTAAGTAAAATGTAATGATTGTGCTCTCAATACAAAGATTTCAAAAGCAAACAAGTTGCACTTATCTATTTTTGAACGTACAAATAGAAATCAAGAACATTTAAATGAGTTATACAATGTTGTGCTAGATTATAATGGGCTGATACTGTATCTGAATGTCATTTTGAAACATTCAGAGTCCTTCACAGGCACAAAGAGTTACACCAGCGTGTGTTGGCAAGTTAGAAATAAATACCAACTCATAGTGGTGGTGCTCATTTCTAATGTGTAAAATGAAACTTAACACTGTCACAAAAGGCCTCAGGCAAATCAGTCCAACTCCACCCCACAGGCTATGCTCCACCCTCTGATCTGGTTTCCTTTATCAGAAAACGAAACTGTTGTGCAACGCTGATGTCGCAGTGCATTAAAAACCAAAACTGAGCAACTAGAAACAGGCAGCATCTCATCAGCAAAATCATATTTCATTGGAATTTTTCAAGACTTCCTGCTTCTGAAACATGTCGGACAATATACCAACGGACCTTCAAGTTATCCTCTGCGACATGTGCACAGAGGAGGAAAGGAAACCAGCACGGAAGACCTGCATGAAATGTGAGATCTCCATGTGTGTCCAGCACCTCCAGATCCACCTGACCACTCCTGTGTTACTGCAAACCCATCCTCTGACCGAACCCATGGCGTTATGTGGCACTACTAAATGCCCCCAACATGGCAAACTGCTGGAGTACTACTGCTTGGATGACATGACCTGTGTGTGTGTTTCCTGCGCCATTGAAGACCAGCACCGCCTTCACAACATGAAGACGTTCTCCACGGCCCACAAAGAGCTCATGGAGAAGCTCAACGCAGAGCAGCAGGCTTTACTGACGAAAACCGATGACGTGAATGTGAGTTTGGAGAAGTGGGAGAAGAGTGAAAGCGAGAAGCTTGGTCGCTCCAGTGTTCGTCTCGTTGAAGCTGTGACCAGCCTGCGTGATATCACCCTGACCAGCGTCCAGAGTTCAGTCTCTGCCCGTATGGTGGCCATCAAAACCAGCAAGAGCAGCATGCTGGCAGCACAGAAGGAGAAGGACACCTTCAGATTCCTGCAGATGTATTCTCAGGTGCATCAGGACTTGGAGAAGGCCAAGGCTGTGGACCTGAGAAAAGGGTTGGAGCCTGGCAGTGACCGAGACAAACTGGTTCAGGAGATAAGAGAGAATGGAGAAAAAATGGTGAAGCAAGCCGGCCACTACTGGGGATCCTTGCTGGCCCTGGTGGACCCAGAGAACCACCAGGAGCTTGTTGCTACTGGTTCAGACCTGATCTTTGACCCCCAGATTTTCGGCCCTGGCCTGTCACTGTCCGAAGACAAAAGGAAGGTTTTCTACAGTAGTTCGTCAGGGCAATGTACTGCCACTCTTCTGATCCGTAGTACCCTGTCAACTCCATACTTCCAGAGGTGGATGGTCAGTTTTTCCCAGGACACTGACTGGACCGTTGGTTTATGTGACAAACAGTCTGCAAAAAACGTCATGGATGGACCGGTCTATGGTCTGCGCTGCGAAGATAATAAGCTCAGCTCTCTCACAACAGAAAATGAGGATTCCTCTGATGCATCAGTCAGTTCCAAACACAAAGTTTTCTCTGCACTACTCACACAAAATGGAGATGAGGCAGCACCACGACCTGAAGCGGTGGAAGTGTTTTGGAACTTTGTTGGCTCCTCGCTGTCCTTCTTCAGCAGAACCGGACAGCACCAGAGGGAAGAAATAATAACAATAAAGGCGATTCCCAGCAACTGGGACCTGGCACCCTTCGTTCAAGTAGGAAAGAAAAACGCCCAAAACATCCGACAGAACCCATGGCAATGCACATGTGGGAAGGCTTACAACTATTACAATAATCAATACAGTCACGGAAGACGCAACTACAACCCTCATCAAGATTACTGTTCCTGTGGAGCACTTATTGGGGGCATTTGCATCACAGAGGTGGTTTGTGAGTTTCTGTAAACGGTGGGAAAACGCTGATCATTGAACAAAGCTCAGAAGTGCAAGTATCTGCTTTTATTGGATTCATATACATTTCATTGATTATATGTTGCTTGCTAGTTAGTGCAAATAATATGTTGGGATTCTTTATAGTGAACAACTTACACATGGTAGACAATGTGATCTTCAGCTGTGTCCATGGCAGTGTGTTTTGGGAGTTGGTTATGTTACTGTTTCTGCCTGACAGTTGAAGGTGTTTGTCTCCCTCTAATGGTGTTGAATGTGTCATTGCTTTCACATTTTACAGTTATCTTACACTGCATGGTTTTAAATCAAAAGTAATTCTAGTTTTTTGTATCCTACTCACATTGCGATTCGTGGATGAACCAATCAATAATAAAGCCATAACAAAAAGAGTAAGATGTGGAAAGCTTTTATTGACTGATTAAGACAAGTGTATTTGAAAAAACTGCATTTCAATTGGACATTTTAACACCAATGTGACAATAAGAAAATGAAACACAGTTAAAGTAGGAGTAACTACACGCTCATGGTGTGAAACTGAAAATGAATGACCCGTTGATGTAGAGGCTGTAATGATTCATAAATGAATTGTTAACGTCATAAGCCAACACACACTTTGGTACTGGATAACACCTCTGCTGTGAATTCAGCACTTCATTACTACAGTATGTACTGTACGCACTATAGTACTGTGGTCTAGCATTCAGCATACTGGTCCAATTATAAATGCTCCAAAAATGTAATTTACTTAATGTAAATGTGCTTATTAGTTTGTGATTATATCTGAAGTTAAATATTTGACTTTAAAATGACAAAGTGCAAAAAAAGGGAATGATTCATTTCTAAAAGTATGTTTAGAACTAGCAGCTGCATAAATATTTTGTACTTTCGAAATAATTTAAGACTCGACCAACAACCAATCGCATGAATCTCCCGCCCCTGACACACAAGCAGCGGTTTGATTGGCTAGAGCTTGTACTGGCATATGATTCGATTGGCTGACGCTTCTGCCGAGGCTTCAAAAGTTGAACATTGCTCAACTTTTGCAGCGAGCCACGCCAGCAAAGCTCTGCTTCGCTTCCCACAATAAAGTTTGGCGAAAAGTGACGTCACCCCATTCAAAGTGAATGGTGAAGCTTTCAACGCACGCCGCTGTGTGGACGGGCCGTTAGTGTGTGTGTTGCTCCGCTCACTGGTCCGTCACAGCGGGCGGAGCTGCAGGATTTCTGCTTCACACACGTTGCATACCGCTATTTTATTGTCTTTCTTTCGGACACCTTAAAATAATGCCAGACTGGTGAAGCCATTTTGGCGAGCTTGTTTTTCCGCGCACAGAGAAAAGTGTCATGTATTTTGCGTCATGTGATCGGCTCTCCTTATCGGCATTTATAGAGAGCCCCGATCACACTATTGAGAGTGAATATCGGCCGATCGATCGGAGCATCCCTAGTGTTTGTCATAAAAACACATCATTGATCTCTGTGGCAGAACCAGATATTTCAAATTGACTTTTATATTGGACAAAATGCGAGATTCCGTGATATTTTAGAACAAAATCAATACTGATATCATGTTAATGACACACATGGTAATATTGTCTACTTAATATTTCACATTTTAAACCTGTTATCGGACTCGTATCTAATGAAGTTGTACCATTTATGATCAGGACACAGAGAGGGGAAGAGCAAGCAAAGGACGCAACCAACGAGCACTGGAACCCAAAAGAGAACTTCACTGCGATTAAACCGAAACTCAAGGACGATGGAACGATCGAAGGTGAAGAACAAGTGGAAGAGGAGAGGAAGGAAAGCAACGGAATGAAACGCAAGCAACCTGACATGATGGAAAGTGATTCCGATGAGGAGGAGGAGGAGGAGGAGGAGAAAATCCCAAGAAAATCATCAGGTAACTAGCCATGCAGAATAAAACACCACAGTGACTGACTGCAGCTCTGAAATGTAGAGGAATAGCAGTCTTAAGTAGCAACAAAACGAAATAATTGTACTTGAATTCCCATCTATGCGTTCCATACTTGTCAATCTGACATTATTTTTCTACCTCGCAATAATATATGAAAAATACTTTGACAATCTGCTCGAATGAGAAGTTAAAGAGCATTAAATCGAGTGCAATGTCAGTGAAGCACAACCATACTGACAACTTGATCTTGTTTTTCAGAGAAGCCCTGCGTGTGGCCTCCACCCTCCTACACGCCGCTGGACGCCTGCTTATCACTACCGCCTCCATGATCCGTCGCATTATCGAAGGCGCAGAGTTCTGGCAGCCACAGAGGACAGAGTACAAAGCCAGCTGGAACTGACCTGCTTAGACTATCATAGAGCAACTTGGACTGATCACATTGTTGATCTTTAACGCGTAAAGACCTGTAGTAACAACAGAGGAAGCTTTTTGAATGTAGCTGGATAACATGAGAATAACTGTCATCTGTTTTTCTATTGTTTGTGCAATATATTTCACATCATATTCTAGAATTGTTTTTGGTAATTTGGTAACTATTTTTCTATTTGCTTTGAGATTACAGCCGCTGTTCACTGATCATTTTGTCAGTTTATGAGTGTTTCGATGTAAATAATGACAAGAAGAGTCATGTTCAAACAACATAAACTGTTTTACTTGAATGACAATAAAAACGTCTGCACAGTACAAATGGAAATCGTTGATGTGAAAACAGCATCTACGTTGCAAATTAGAAAAGACTGTACATACATCATAACCGCAAACAGGTCAAGTAATAACAATAACAGAGATACATTCCATGTGAAAGAGGAGGCAAATGCATGTGAACAAATGTCTTTCAAAAGCACAAAATCAAAGTGAACAAACTTCTTCTGATGCCTCCTTTAAAACGTGAACAGAGGATTCAATGACTTCCCATTGAGGGGTTATTCGGTGCACAGGATTTGCCCTCCTTCTTCCGCAGTGCTCTCAGGCTCTGTCGGTACCTGACGTTGGCGACGGCCTGGCCGTATTGCTCGCTAGTCATCCAGTGCGGCCTGAATGTCTTGATATAATAGCGCATGTCTCCGTACCACTGAACCAACCTGTGGCGCGGCATTCCAACCACCTCACCCAGCCTGTTGTATGCCGCAACGTCTGGATACTGGCATTCCGTGAAAGCCTCCTTCATCCTCGACAACTGAAACTTCGTCTTTATTTTGGGTACCACACAAGTGGGAAGTGACCTTTTATTTTTATAGTTGCCGCCCTTGGTGATTGTTGACTCTGTTTGCGTCTGCGTTTCTGATTTCTCCCCACAGTGACTTTTCTCAGGGGTCTTTCCGTTATTAGAGGTAGAAGGAGGAGTGTCGTCATTTTTTCCCAGCACTTCTGTCTGGTTGTCAGTGAGAGGAGGCATGTTGGGGGCCTGAGTTTGAACCAAAGGGATGAGCAGGGGCATTGCATCCTGTGTCTCATTGGGTACCCCACTTTCAGGGACAGACGTTTTTACTTTTGGCATCCTCTTCCTTCTGGTAAAAAGCGTTATCTCCGACTGAGTGGACTTCTGACACTCACTTCCTATGTTTGCTTCTTTTGCCCTCTCCACAATATTCTCCTCCGCTTGCTTTGTTTTTTTAATTCCCACCTCGTATGTCACCGTCGTCCTTTTCCGCTTCCTCTGAGTATTCCTTTTCTTTTCTTTTACTTTTCCATCCCTGTCTTTCTTCATTAGCTGCTCCTGCCTCATTCTTCTCTCCAATAGTTCATCAGCCTCCACATTTTCCCCACTTCTCCTTCCCTCACTTGCACCCTGTTCCTCCCTAACCTCTCCTGCCTTCTTCCCATCAGGTGTTTTACATTTCTTATTCTTGTCTCCATCCTCTTTCTGTTCCCCCTTCCTGGTTTGCAGCTCTGCCTCCCCCCAAATCAACTTGAACTGCCTCCGAACCTTCCTGATGTCTTTAAATTCCCAGCTGACGCCATAGCGGAGCCTCTGTATCATGAACCACACCTTCACCTGGTCTGGGTGCAAGGAGCAGCGCTGTGCCAGTGTAGCTGTCTGTTTCTCCGTCAGGTATGGAAACTGGTCGAAGGCCTTGTTCAGCTCTTCTGCACCATCCAGCTGTAGGTTGAACTCATTTGAGTGCACCCATATAAGCTGATCGTCAGAGACCACAGGGAGACACAAGGCATGGCTCTGGTTCAGATTGAAAGCCATCATGTCAACGTTTGGTTCTGATAAATTCTCCTCAGGAACGCTGGTTGTCTTTTGTATGAGCACGGAACCTCCAGAAATGTTCTGCCTCATCTTTCACATCTGTGGGGATGCAGGACTGTAGAGTAGATAAACAAAAATGGTTGATGGTTGATAAAAAGAAAATTGAATTGATTTATACAGTACATTTCCTGAAGACACTTTTATCGTTTTGCTAGTTATAAAAAGGAAGATTTTTTTTGGTCTAAAATCTGAAACCAAAAACACAATAGTGGAGAAAATAAAGTGAAACATTCCCTCAGTGAAAGTAAAAAGGGACTTAAAACGTTAGTGATAGAAATACAGTGCAAGTAAGATAATGTTACCTTATAGTTTAACTTAATGGATATGTTATTGAATTATGGCGGAAGGTGGAAGAAGTACACAGATCTTATACTTAAGTAAAAGTTCTAATACCAGTCTAAAAATACTTTGTTACAAATAAAAGTCCTGCATCTAAAAGTACTCATTATCCAAAGTGGCCTTTTTTCGGGAAATAGATATTATATCACTGCTTATAATACTATAGTAATGCATTATGTGGCTATCATGTGCAGCTGTTAAAGGATCACATAACATTAATAACTTGTTATACTGCCCGTTATTTCCATCCCTGATAGAACATCAAAGTGTATTATTTGATTTCATGTTCGTAAAAATAACATAAAAATGCAAAAGCAAATAGTAACTAATGTTGTCAAAAAATGTAGTGAGTACAATATTTGCTGCCAAAATGTAGAAGTAGAAGTAAAAACTAGCATAACATGAAAATACTCAAGTACAAGTAGCCTACCTCTAAATATACTTAAGTAAAATTAAGTAGGCCTACTTTAGTAAATGTACTTAAGTAATATATTTCAGTAAATGTTCTTCATTACCACCTCATTGGCCAGATAACACCAACATGAATAACGTTAACAGGGGTGTATATTTAAACTTATTTGTGGTAACAATTCATATTAACTAGTTAGCTAACTTTAGCTAGCTAGCTAGCTACGTTTGCTCTTGAAGTAATTTCTTACGATTCAAGTTAGGTTAACTGTATCCACGGTAACATGTACAGTAATATTATAGCCGTTAACTTTGACCGTTTGTTGAGCAGTAACGATACCAATAATTTGAATAAATATCAATTGAACATTGGCTAGCTTAGCTTTTGGTTTAGCTGTTGACGTTGTTTTGTTTACATCCCCACGTTTGTGATACAGTTAACATAGGTAGCCTACTTTTTATTTTCCTATAAGTAATCAATATACTTGGCAGCTTCAAGAATACACCGATATTAGATCACTTATTTCAATTAATGATTGGTTTTGAGTCCTTACCTTTCAGCGTACTTACTTAAGTGGAGAGATGGCCTGTTAAGTATGACAGGTTTTCTGGATTGGTCAATTAAAACCGCCCCATCCAGTTACACTTAAAGTTCATTCTTCAAGGGTTTATCTATTAAATTGGGTGTATGATAATATATTATAAACAGTAGTGTAGTATACATGTAGGCCTACTCAAGTAGTCTACTGTACACATTGAGGTACTTGTACTTTAATCGAGTATTTTCAAGTTATGCTAGTTTAATACTTACATTTATTTGACATATTTAGTCAAGTTACTTTGCAGATTTAGGTTATGAATACACATTATAAATCAACAAATATTATATTATACAGTATTATTACAGGTTAAGCTATCCAGTAGTCATTCAAATAAACCCCACCGTTACCAAGTGCAACATTGAAGTGACAAACAGATAAATCCAACAATAAGGTCCTACAAGGAGGCTCTCTCCAAGACCAAGACCGCCTACTACTCCTCCCTCATCACCTCACAACAAAATCACCCCAGATCCTTATTCTCCACCATCAACCGACTGCTCCGCCCCCTCCCTGCCATGCACACTGCTGAAGCTCCTGACCTCTGCTCCAAATTCCTCAACTTTTTTCAGGCTAAGGTGATCTCCATAGAGAGGCGAAGTCCCTCCCCTTCCGAAAGCCTCCATGGGACCCCGGAAGCGGAAAATTATACATTGAAGTCAATGGAGAGAGAAAGGTTATCTTTTGATCCCGTTTGAATTGTGCCACGAATGACACATATGATGTTTGTCAATTTAAAAGAACATTTTGCAAGTCAAAAAAATAAAAATGTGTCGTAAAACTGTGAAGTTACACATTTTTTCGTGTGAAACCGCTCAGTGAACTACAGGTCTCTGGTCTCGCACAATACGCGTCACCAACATAAAGATGGCCGTCACGTTAGCACATTTCACCACATTCTTTCAGAATGAGAATAAAAGTATTTTACGAGGTGAAAATCACTACAAGTCTGGGCACGTTGAGAGCTGTACCTATATGAAAGGGGAGTTAGTCGGTTCTGTAAGAGCCAGCATGCGGGACCGGCTTTACAAGGTTTCGGTGAGTAATATGAGTGCAATGTGTAACGTTAATGTCAGCTAGCTAACATTAGCTAACAAGGTACACTAACGTGTTTTGTTTTAGTAACTAGTTTTCTCCTTAAGAAATTCGTGGTCTCTGTGTATGCTGTGGATAACATTAGTGTTCACAAGAACAAGGTACACTCCCGTGTTTTGTTTTAGTTGCTCTTCAGATTGAACAGTTTTTTATCGACTATACTGTATGTGTGATCTCCTTTTTCTCGTTGTGTCATTTGAGTTTATTTGCTGTGTGTAGATTCAAAGATTTTGGTTATCTCGGCACAGCTGCGTGACTCCCTCTGGTACACCGGTATGTGTTTTCCTAATGTAGAGAGCATTGATTAATTAATAAACTACACACTGAGTCTAGATCCTGATTAAATCCTTTTTTATTGTTGATCAAATGTTTTTCAAAAATGTATTCATTCACATTTAGAAAAATACAATGTACAATCACAACCAATACAACACAAATTACAAAAAATACAGAAAAAACAAACAATAACAACAATCAGACAAGAGGACAAAACTATGGAAAAATAAACCCTCCCACCCCCAGATCCGGACCATACTTGTATTATTGCTCATTCAATCTATTATAACATGCTAACAAATGGTACTTACTTTATTTTTTACAGATCTGCATGGGAGACGATGGCGCGATGCAGAGCGCTGTCTGTGATTGTGCACAGGAGATGTACAAATGCAGCCACGCTGCAGCATTGGCAATATTTGCCATGTGGCAGATCAGCTCCACAGATGTGAGTGCCAGTGGAGGAAGCCTGGCACTTAAAAAGTAGTCCAGTCGGTGTCTCAACTTTACCAACAGCGAGAGGAGACATACAACCCACTGGCCAGAGACATCGCCAACTGTCAACTGGGGGGTTGTAAACGAGGCCGAAGGGGTGAAGGCTTAGAATCGAGTCTGGTCTCTTTGTGAGTGAGTCGGGTGTTTTGGGAGCATCACCCGATGGACTTGTGCAGCCATCTGCCCTGCTGGAGGTGAAGTGTCCACACAGCCAGAGGA